CTCCTGCTCCAACCACCAGATATTTCCCCCGAGAGACAGCATCTGTTTTTCTCGTAGATGCTTTCAGGGATGGTCCATGCATTCTTAGACATGTGTGTGTGTGTGTGTGTGTGCACACTTCTAATTTCAAATTCAAATCATAATGTAGAATTTGAATTAAAAATAACCTCACATCATGCAGTGTGTTTCAAAGGATATAAGATACCTACTAAAATAAACTTTTGAATAAAAGAAAATTTAGCAACATAGGATACTCAGGAGATATTGTTAAGTGAGAAAAAATAAGGTTCTAAAATAGAATATATGTAAGGTTCTATTTTTATTAAAAGAAAACTCTATTCTGTAAGTTTTTGGTTTTTTATTTAAATCTGAACTGTGACAAATAAATGTAGTGTGGAATCCTGGATGGGGTCCCAGAACAGAAAAGGGGCATTAGGGAAAAATAAGGAAACCTGAAACAAGTATGGACTGTAGTTAATAATGTTGTTGTTGTTATGTGTCATTGCGCCTCATAACAACTCTGTATTGAATTTCCGAGGAGCAACTGGTGGGTTTGAACTGTTGACCTTGTAGTTCACAGTCCAGCACTGATCCTACATTATAGTCCATACTTTATTCAGATTTGCTATATGGAAATATATACATGGACTATAATTATTGAGGGGTCCTGGTATGGCACTGTAAGATAAGCACTGAACCACAAGGTCGGTTTGAACTGCAAGGTTGGCTGTTCAAACTCACCAGCTGCTCCTGTGGAAACCCTATACAGGATCTCTATGTGTTGGAACCAACTGTACACTTAACAACAATGGCAACATAGTTAATGATAGTGTATCATTGTTGGCTCATTAATTGTAACAGAGTACCATACTGATGTAAGATGTTACTAATAGAAGAAGTTACCCCCATTACTGTGGAGTCCATTCCGTCTTATAGTAACCTTATAGGACTTGCCCAGAGGGTTTCCAAGGCTGCATTCTTGATGGAAGCTGACTGCCTCATCTTTCTCCCAGGGAGCAGCTGGTGGATCAGAACCTCTGACCTTTTGGTTAACAGCCTGGTGCTTAACCACTGTACCACTAGGGCTCCTTCCAGGAGAAGTTGTTGTTATCAAGGGCAGTTGAGTAGGAGAAGCTAGATGTAAGACTCTGGGAACTCAGTGTACTAGCTTTGTAACTTTTTTATAAATCTAAAAATATACAATAAAGGTGGTTATTAAAAAAGACCGGATGGGCAGCACAATGTTCTTTTCAGGCAGCAGAATTACAGGAGATATTTTTTCCCCTTTGGTGGATCTCTTTTCTGAGTTCTCTAAAGCAAACACATATTCTTTGTACAATGAATTGACAATGCGACATCACAGAAGCATTACGTAGACCACATTGCCAACTCCAGTTATGTCAGCCACCCTGACTGTGTTTGCCCTGTCATGGGGGAGGGGGGTGAGGTGGGCTTGGGGGGTAGGGGGATACTGTTTAGCACGGGGCTGCACTCTGTAGAGACATAGAGTCTCAAAGAGACATTGGAGGAGACTCGAATCCACTTCCTTAGCTGGGACAGTGATTCCAAATTTCCTGCACTCTTTAAAAAAAAAAAAAAAAAGTTAAGCTTTTAATATGTGTTCATTGTAGAAAAACTAGTAAATACATATAACACACAGAAGAAAATGAAAACAGTTGAGATTCTACTGCTCAGAGAAAACCGTCTTATGTTTTCAGAGTTTACCAGAAATGTACAATTCACATATACTATATATAGATATGTGACTGTTTATAAAACACATGAACCATACAATGTATTATAGCTAAGTAACTTGCTTTTATCCCTTAGCAATGTGTAGTGTGCTGTTTTCTATGTTAAATAACTTTACATCTAATCTATGTTGTTGTCTTAAGTAACTGTATTATGTTCTGTTGTGGTGGTGTTATTGGGCCTTCAACTCAATTCCAACTCAGCCCTGCATAGGGTTTCTGAGAAGTGATTAGTGGGTTTGAACTGCCGACCTTTCCGTTAACAGTCTAGTGCTTATCCTACAGTGCTACGCCAGGACTATATTTTATTGTACTATTAGACCATAAAGGAGCTCTGGTAGTATAGTGGTTACGAATTGGTTTGCTAACCTCAGGGTCAGCAGTTCGAAACTACCAGCGGTTCCGCGGGAGAAAGATGAGGCTTTCTGCTCCCATAAAGATTTACAGCCTCAGAAACCCTGTACAGGGTCACTATGAGTTGGAAGTGACTCCACAGCACATAGCCACCACCACCACCATTAGACCACAGTCTGTTTAATTAGCTATTGCTGCATATATAGAGTTCTTCCCAATTTTTTAAAATTATTAAAGTGGTGTTCATGGAGCCCTGTGTGAAGCAGAACTGTTCTGGGCTCTGGGAATGCTGAGGTATCAAACAGGCCTGGCCCTGCCATCATGGGCTCACATTCTAAATGGGGAAATAGCTGGTAAATAATTACACGAGTTGATATGCTATATGGTACTCCCAAACCCAAAACCATTGCCATCAAGTCAATTCTGACTCATTATGACCTCATTTTATATAGGGTCGCTATGGGTGGAGCCAACTTAATGACACTTAAGAACAGCAGCAGAAATAGGGTTTCCAAGACTGTAAATCTTTATGGAAACAGCACTGTCAGTCTCCTGAGGAGTAGCTAGTAGTTTCGAACTGCTGACCTTGTGGTTAGCAGCCCAATGCCTAACTCACAGCACCAGCAGGGCTGCTATGCTGTATGCCAGGTAGTGATAAATGTTACAGAGAAGCATGAAGCAGGGGAGGAAGTAAGGGAGCCTGAAAGGAGGGAGCACGAACAGGGAAAGCCTTACCAAGGTGCCTCCTGTGCAGAGACCCGAGGAAGTTCTGCTCTCTGTGGGAAAGCTGTTCACCTGGAGGAAATAGCAGGTGCAAAGGCCCTGAAGCATGAGTGTGCCTGTGGTGTCCTGGAAGAGTGATCGAGGCTGGGAGGTAGGAGGAACTGAGCCTTGAGGGGTAGTTGGGAGCCAGGTCCTGGAGGGCTTTGAGAGTGAGGACTTCGACTTCTATTCGAGGGAGATGGGGGCCAGGATCAGCTACGTATGTCTATGGAACCAATGGAAATGAAAATTCAGGATGCCTGGTTCAAAAATTAAGAACTTTAACAGGGTGACAGCAGAGCATTAAACCAAGTACAGGGCTCTTCTGTGAAGGTGGCCTTGCAGGATGTTGCCATGGAAGGTTCGGAACAGAGGAGTGGTGTGATCTGACATGTTTTTACAGGATTGCCCTAGTTACTTTGTAAGAACTACAGTGAGTATGAAGACACAATGAACAGAACATGGTTATAAACAATATGCAGCTTTTCACATATCCTAGAAATCAATTTTGATTATAAATGACATATGTTGTCGTGTCCCGTAAAGTTGATTCCAGCTCTCAGTGATCCTGTAAGACACAGTAGAACTCTGAGGGGTTTCCTAGACTGAGATTTTTATGGGAGCAGATCACTGGGTCTTTTCTCCAATGATGTTGTTGGTGCATTAGAACCTCTGGCTTTTAGCTTGGCAGCCAAGCGCTTAACCATTGTGCCACTATGATTTCTTAAAGGGCACATGCAAGGGTCTTCAAAAAATTTGTGGGAAAATGGAAATAAAAGATAATGGGATGTTTCCACAGATTTTTGAAGCCCCCTTGTACATAAATACACATTTTAAGGATATTGATATGTTGTTGTTATTGTTAAGTACCATAGAGTCGGTTCTGACTCACAGTGACCCTTCACAGGGTTTCCGAGGCTGTAAATCTTTACAGGAGCAAAAAGCCTCATCTTTCTCCCGCGGAAGAGCTGGTAGTTGCGAATTTCCGACCTTGAGGTTTAGCAGCCCGATTTGTATAGTTATTGCCAAATTGTTTGCCAAAAAGATACTGTTAAAGGATGATGGGAGTCCACTCAGTCTCTGAGCTGGAAAAACCAAAGCTGAATGTACTGCTTCTTCTAGGAAGGAAGAGCCATGCCAGTCAGCCCCACCTCTCTGAGCAGAGCAGACTGATGTTGTGTGGGGTTTGAGGGAAGTGTGGACTTCAGAGACAGGCAGGTGATATTCTCAGGTGTAGGAAGGGGTATCAGCATCTGTAGAAATAGAGCTACTGGGGCGTCGAGTTGATGGAATGGGACTCAGAGGCCTGTTCTTTATTGACATGAACCATGTTTAAACTTGTTTACTTCTGATTTGTACTTTCATCATTTACATACAAGTATCCATTTCCCCAAAGACCTGACAACACTGGGTAGTACCTTTCTGTTGTTATTATTGTCAGTGTAATGGGTGGGAAAAACAATAAGATCTTGTTTTAATCTGCAGTTCTTAGAATATTAATTGGTCTGCATACTAGTTTTCATTGGCCATTTTCTTTTTCTAATGAATTGCTTACTTGCCTGCTTTTCTAATGAGTGGTCATGTAGTTGATTGGTTTATGAGTACTTTTAAGAAGTAAGTTTGTTGATTGTCAGTGGCCCCTGGGGGTTACAAACGGGTTTGCTGGCGCTGTGGGTTAATACGCTGGATTGCAAAGTCGGTTTGAGCTACAAGGTCGGTGGTTCAAGCTCACCAGCCACTTCCTGGAAACCCTATACAGGGTCGCTATGGGTCGGAATCGACGCAGTGGCACTTAACACCAACAGCAACATCACTGGCTGAAAAGGTGGCTGTTCAGACCCACCTGCCTAGGGTGCAGAAGAAAGACTGATGATCTGCTTCTGCAAACCTGAAGGAGTTCAGTTTTACTCTAACACACGGAATTGCCTCAAGTTGGAATTGACTTAACGGGCTTGGTTTATATTCCTTGTCAGACTTGCTACAGGAAACTTTCCTCCTGTTAGTGCCTCTGAAACAGGAGAGCAGTACCTCCCTTGTGGATGGCAGCATGATACAAGTGTTGGCTGTTGTCTCCACGATTGACACCGGGTTGGGGGGTGTGCCATATCACCCTGATTGTGCTCTGTCCCTCAGGCTTGGACATCCACTTCATCCACGTGAAGCCTCCAAAGATGCCTGCAGGCCGTATCCCGAAACCCTTGATGTTGGTTCATGGCTGGCCCGGAACCTTCTATGAGTTTTATAAAATCATCCCTCTCTTGACCGACCCCAAGAGCCACGGCCTGAGTGACGAGCATGTATTTGAAGTCATCTGCCCTTCCATTCCAGGCTATGGCTTCTCAGAGGCATCTTCAAAGAAGGGTAAGGGCTTCTGGAGTCTGAGTGCCCACTCAGCCCTCACTCAATGTAGGGAAGATTCTCCCATCAGATACTTCTTTGGGAAAGAGGCTGAGGCAGGGCATCAGCTGGGACTGAGGATGCCGGGTGTGGGGGTAGCTCTTGAATTGAAGTGCAGAGGAAACGAGGCATTTCATTACACAAAGCTGAAGGGAGGGACCAGGCAGAGCACCTGTCATTGTGTGGTGCTGGCTTGGGGACCTTGATTCCGGTGTTCTCATGGCTTCTCTCATCTGAGCCCTACCCTTTGGACCCCAGGATTCCTTCTAGCCTTTGCAGGCCTGAGAACTTTAACAGGGCACTTGGAGACCACAAGGAGTGACCTCCCTGTGACTCTGTTCTCTTTACCCCTGACAACCAGGCTTAAATTCCGTGGCCACTGCCAGGATCTTTTATAAGCTGATGCTGCGACTGGACTTTCAGGAGTTCTATGTTCAAGGTGGAGACTGGGGCTCCCTGATCTGCACCAACATAGCCCAGATGGTGCCCAGGTGAGACTCACTGTCAGGTATGGTGGTGGTGGTGGGGGGCCGGGATGTGCTTCTAAGAGGTGGTCCTTTGTGCAGTGCTGTCCAGTGGACACTGTGTCTGAACCATGGACCCTCCCTTACCCAGGCAGGGATGCTGTGGGTCCAAGGGAGAGGTGGCCCTCTGTCTTTCAGCTGTATCTGGGCCACTTTGACCTGGGTCCTTCCTCCACGTAATACAACACAGGACTAGTGACTGTGTCAGCGACCCAGGCTGAGGAGAAGGCAAGTGAGGATTTGGGCCTTTCTGAAAGGTCAAGCACTAGAAGAATCCTGACAAGAATGTTCTAGAAGTTCTGTATCTTTCCAAACTCCCTCCTACAATCTCCTGTGGCTGTTCCAAAGGGACAGGGGAGGAAGTGGACAGGCACAGTGCTCCTCAGTTTGTGGCCCGTTCCTTGTGGTCTGTTTTCATCCCTGACCTTGCTGTACTCTCTCTGCCCTCAGCCACGTGAAAGGCCTGCATTTAAACATGGCCTTCGTTATGAAAAATTCCTTCTTCCTGACTCTTATGCTGGGACGACGTTTCCAGGGATTTTTGGGCTGCACTGAGACAGACATAGAGCGTTTGTTCCCCTTCAAGGAGAAGGTCTTAAACAGCATAGTGAGGGAGAGCGGCTACATGCACATCCAGTCCACAAAGCCGGACACTGTGGGTGAGTATTCACAAGGTGGCTGCAACTGGCCCTTCCTGGAACACAGACATAAATTGCTCTGTGTCCATTCCATTCAATAAGGAACACGACTGGGGAGCCCCATTGTCCACCTGCACACTGCTCCCAGGGTTGGAAACATTTTGGAGGGAACTCCAAGTCCTTTGGACCCTTGAACTGTATTTTTTCATAGAAGCAAATTTACAATGGTCATCAAATTCCCACTCCAAAGCCAACTATTTAGCTGATTAAGTATTCATGGCGGCTTTGATCCCTGGCCACCCCAATCTTTGAACCTGAGTCCTTTGTTAGGAAACAGAGGGATGGGGAGAGGAAACAGCCTGGGGCCTGGGCAGTTCTGAGACTGTGGGGTGGATCCTCAGCAGAAAAAAAAAAGGGGGGGGGGAGGTGCCTCTTGGCCCCTGGGAGGAAGTTGTGACAAAAGGGAGGACTCAGAAACCATTTCTGTCACCAGGGTTCTGTTAAAGCATGATTCTTTTGTAAAAGGTAAACCCTGGCTCTCATACAACGACAAAATGAGTAAGCTTACAGATTTTATTTAGCTAATTAATTAAATGAACTTATAAAATTAAAAACTGGTTCAAAAGCAATTAGGAACACTGAAGTCAATTTGTTAATAGATCCAAAGCTGGTCAAAATCCACAGGGTCATCAGACTCAATTATATCTCTACTGCACAAATTTCATCTGCTTCTCTATGAACCAGAATCCTCTGCATTACTGTAGGTTTTCTGTAATTTATGAGGCGTCCAACAGCTGAATGACAAGGGAAGATGATGGGGCTCCAGTAGAACCAGATAACCCCAAAGGGGGTCCATTAGGAAACTCAGAATCCACTGAGAGAAATCCTTTTGCCCACTTCAAAACTTTTTACAATTGTCAAGACAGTCTTAGGTTCACATATATGATGCAACCTGTAATAATAATTGTACTGTATAAAACTACTGAAAAAGCATTTTTTCCTATTATGAAAGTAATCCATATTAATTGTAAAAAGATTGAAAAATGCAAAAACAAGTATTACAAAACTGAAAAGACAGTCACCTCTAACCTCCCTCCCTTCCCAGCCATCTCTCTTCCTGAACTTCAAAAGAACATTTTGGCTGGTGAATTTTCATAAATGGAAACATGACCCAAACAATCCCAGAAGCCCTCCGGTGCTCTCTCCCAGGCACACTTCCCTCACTAGATGAACCATTCTCCCAATTTTTAACAGATAGGTTGTTTTTATTTATTTGTATATTCATGTAATGGAATTAGAGTATCCATTCTTTTGAGTGTAGCGTCTTTTGCTTAATATTATGTTTGTGAGATTTACCTATGTTGTTCCCCAGACATTTTTAGTGACTGCGTGCTATTTTAGCTTATGGATATATTTGTTTGTTTACTGTAAACATATTTAACAAAACAGCTTCCATCTTAACATTTTCACCTGTGTAGTTCGGTGTCAAGCCCTAGTGTGGTACTGTGGGTACTGCAAAGTTGTTTGAACTACAAAGTCGGTGGTTCAAGCTCACCAGCTGCTCTTTGGAAACCCTATACAGGGTCGGAATTGATGCGATGGCACTTCACAACAAGAATAGTGTCATTAATTATATTCCCCATGAAACTCAACCATTACCACTACCTGTTTCCAAAAATTTCCATCCCCCTTAACAGAAGCTCAGTGTCCCCTAAGCAGTGAGTTCCCCTTTCTACTTCCCTCCCGGTCACCTCTGCTAATCACTGGTCAGTATCAGTACTTATTTTTAACTGATACCCTACTTTTGGACTTTTAGGTTCTCAGTTGCTGACAATTATAGCAAATAGACCCCAAAAAACCCCAAAACCCTTTTCAAAAATAACATTCCTAAGTATTTATTTGGGCCTCACACAACCCAGAGATATAGAGCCTCCGGTGTGAAGGAGGTTGCCTGTGTGATGTGACTCCCATGAAGTGGTGGGATGCTATGAGCCCTCTGTATTAGATGAGGGTGTCAAGGCTGAGGGTGAAGGAAGTGAAGTTGATGAACACCCCAAGACTTAGGGCAAATCAAACCTGGCTTCCTGTCCATGACCCACTATGTAGGGGCCAGTGCCCCCCACTCAGTCCTGAGTAGACCTCCTGGCTCCTAAGCTTGAGTCCTTCCTGTGTTCCTTTCCACCCAGGCTGTGCTCTGAATGACTCCCCTGTGGGGCTGGCTGCCTATATTTTGGAGAAGTTTTCCACCTGGACCAATTCGGATTTCCGAAACCTGGAAGATGGAGGCTTGGAAAGGTGAGACCCTCACGTGCCCCTGCCATCAGACCCCTTGCCAGCAGTCACTTTCTTTACCTGTTTATCTCCTGTTATCTCAACTCTGGTTGCTTTATCTGGCTGGGGAGGTGGGATGGGGGATGTTAACAAGTTCCATTTTTTGATTGACTCCCCATCCCTAGCCCCACTGAGCCTTATGGCTGCAGAAGCTGAGGCACAGAGAGAACTGCTTTTCCAAGCCCCACAGCGGGCTGTCAGGAATAGGGTGTAGGACTTGTGTTGCCCATGCTCTGTTCACTAAGCAGCCATCTCCTGGGGTCCAGGAGTCCCCAGGGCAGTGAGTGCCCTTCTAGAGTCTGGATCTCTCCTTTCTGAACCCTCTGGGGCTGGCATCATGGCCACAAGTACAGGTCACCTCCTCCAAGAAGACTCTCCTGACTTTTCCCTTTGTCCAGAATTTGTCCTTGTCTCTGTCCTTGCCTTTCCCCCAGCCAGTCAGTACAACCAGTGGCTTATTCTTGGTCTCCCTGCTGGGTCACATGCTCCAGCCAGACTCATTTTTGGATTCGCAATACTTAGCTTAAGGGCCTGGCACACAGTTGGTGCTCAAAAGGTACTTCTTAGCAAGTGAATACTACAGTACTTGCTTAAAAAGCTGTTTGAACTGCAAGGTCGGTGGTTCAAGCTCGCCAGCTGCTCCTTCCTTGGAAACCCTATGGGGTGCTATGGGTCGGAATCGACTCAACGGTACTTCACAACTTGCTTAAAAGAGGTAAATTTCAAGGATGCCAGCAGAACTGGCTGTTATTATTAAGTGCTGTGGAGTCTGTTCCAACTCATAGCAACTGTGTGTAGGGTTTCCAACGTTTTAAATCTTTGCACAAGCAGAAAGTCTCATCTTTCTCTCAAGCAGCTGGCAGGCTTGAACAGCAGACCTTGTGGTTTGCAGTCTGGTGCTTATTGTATGGAGCCACTGTGCTCCTCAAACAGGCTGTTAATGGACATGAATTTTGTATAGTGCTTTTACTTTAGAATTTTATACATTCTTGCCAAGTACTTTAACCCTGTTTTTGCGAGAAGAGAAACTGAGACACAAAGTCCCAGTGTTCCATAGTGACTGGACTGAGGCCAGACACGGGTCCCTAGATGTTTGGGCCTTTCTGTCCTTTGCGTCTAGCAATGCTGGGTCCTGAGGAAGAGAGAAGCCAGGCCTCATTACTGCTCCCAGGAATCCAGAGTCCAGGCAGCCTCCATTAAATGCCCCAAATCCCATAGGGTTCAGAGAGTAGAGATTCATTGCCCTAGAAAAATCTGCAAACAGGCCTTTGTGGAGGGCAGGGTTGGAGAGACCTATTATGAGGACAGTCATGGGAGTAGATAGGGGTGACATTGTTACTAAGCATGAGTCCTGGGCCCAAAGTGCCTAGATACGAATTCTGGATTCTCTGCTTATCAGTTAAATGGAGGTAATAATAGTGCCTATGTCCAATAGGTTTCTGAGAAGAATAAATGAATTGATCTGTGTAAAGAGCTTAGAACAATGCCTGCCTCTCAGGTTCTAAGCACTCTGCATTACAGTAGCTTAGAGACCTGGGGTAGGTTCTGAACCTGCATGATATGGGAAGGATAGCATCCGTTTGGCAGCATTGTCTGGAAGATAAAACCCCATGAGCATAGTGTCTGTGTTGGAGCTCCCATAGGTCCCACAGTTGTAACTGGTACTGAGTGGGGCTTCCTTTTCTGCTTCCCAGGAAGTTCTCCCTGGATGACCTGCTGACCAACATCATGCTCTACTGGACAACTGGGACCATCGTCTCCTCCCAGCGCTTCTACAAGGAGAACTTGGGGCAGGGCATAAACGTCCACAAGCATGAACAGTGAGCACAGTTGGAGCCTGGAGCGGGTGGAGTGAGGGTGGAACCTGCAAGGCAGGGAGCAGGGGAAACCAGTCTAGACCTCAAAGAGAAGCATTTGGTGGGGGAGGAAAGTACAGCCTGACCCAGCTCCTGCCTGGGTGTACACTGAGAACACTATTTAAAGAAGTCAGGGTGTTTGTAGAAATCCTTGGGCCTTTCCAATTGGCTCCTCGAGGGTACCTGACCCCAGATGTCCTTAGGGTTCCTCTATGGTCAGGATGCTAACCTAAGGGGGCACTGATGGCCTGGGATGTCTCCAGTGCCCTGTTAGGCCAACTATCTTCCAAATCTCAAGGAAATCTAGGAGACAGTAAAGGGAAGGGGGCACAGAGGTGTGGAGCTGGAGGCTGGCCCACCCTTACTTTCAGCTGAATTCTCTGTCCCTCTTCCCAGAAAAAAGGAGGGTCCTTCAAACAAACCCACTTCAGTGGAGTTGATTCTGAATCACAGCGACACTATAGGACATGGAGGAACTGCTCCTTAAAGCAGACTATGAGTCATGGGAGAAACAGTCTCCAGGAACAGCAATGGGATCGAACCACCCACCTGTGGTTAGCAGCACACTGCTCAACCCACTAGCCACCAGGGCTCCTCCAGGGCCCTAACTGTGTTGGAATTAATGGGGTGGGGTGGGAGAAGCAATTAAAGCCTGCATCTAATCTTTTCTTTAGGCTTTAAAAGCCGGTTTGGGTTGGGGAGCTCACTCTCTTTCAGAGGCCTCTGGCCCCTCTTGCTCTGGGAAAGGGAGGGTGGGACTAATCTTGCCCTCAGCAGGATCTCTTGCCTTCCCCCCCAAGGATGAAGGTCCATGTGCCAACGGGCTTTGCTGCCTTCCCTTGCGAGTTACTGCACGCCCCGGAAAAGGTGGTGAGATCCAAGTTCCCCAAACTGCTCTCCTATTCCTACATGCCCCGTGGAGGCCACTTTGCTGCCTTTGAGGAACCAGAACTGCTTGCCCAGGACATCCGCAAGTTTGTGGGGCTGGTGGAGCGGCAGTGAATCCTGGGGGACACACAGTCACCCCTGAACCCTTGCTGCTACCTTTCCCTTTTATAGGAAGCCCCCAAAATCCAAACACTAGCTCCTTTTGAAGCAGCCCCAGCCTCCCTCCCTGTTCTCTAGGAGTGAAGTGGGCAGGGAAGAGAAGGTTCCTTAATGCCCCTTTCCTAAGGGATGAGTTTGTGTCCTTCCCCTGCTCATGCTGGGCCCTCATGCTTACCCCCTTACTATTCTCCCCCACGTGGTGAGAATGTGGCTTTGATAATAAATAATAAACGTAAAATAAGTTTACATTGGAGTGACTTGCGAGGGGCTGGCAGGTCTGCAGCCTGCATTGGGAAGGCCCCCCCCCGCCCCTCCCGGGTAACAGAAGACCTGCTGGGCTGTAACTGAGGTCACACTGCTGCTAGGACCTCTGGTGTAAAAGGCTGAGCCCTCCACCTACTCCCAGTGTGTGGTCCAACTTGTGGGCAGGAGCAGTGAATCCCAGGGAGTGCCAAGGACAAGTCAGTAGGGAGAGTTAAGAGGAGATACAGCTATTAGAATAGAAGGGCCTCCCATTTGGGGCCTCATCCCCTAAACCCTGGCACAGCCAGGTGAGTGGTAGAGGAGGAGAGTAGAGCCCCGTGGCCCTGAGGCTCCAGAAGCCTGGGGAAGCACGGGTCCACCTCTAAAACACAGACTTGGGCGTCTAGCGCCACCTGGAGGGAGGAAGTGTCTCAGACACATCTCCAAATCCTAGATCCTACAGGACGAAAGGCAAAGGGTTCTGGGTTTCCTGCAGGGGGCACTCACTGCTCAAGAGCCAGGTACAGCTCTGTACCCAGCTCAGACACGTTCTCTGCCTCCTCTTTTCCCCTGGGGTGGAATCCAGCCCCATGCCAGTCCAAGCTGTCCCCCTCCATTGAGGAGTACAGACAGATGACAATGAGGGCTGAACCCCAACCCCTCTGCCCCAAAAAGGCAGGAAGAGGCTGTGTCTGAGCATTCTGCCCAAATGGGCACTAATTTATTAGTGATCTTCATTGTCCCTGCCTGACCCAGCTCGAGCTGGCAACACCGTACAAAAACCCAGACACAAGGATGCCATCGCGGGATGCGAAGGTGTATGTATGCACAGCTGACTAGAGCCTGCTGCAGCCAGCACAGTCCCATTCCCTTCCTGCTCCCCACAGCTGACTCCTGGGAACATCTAACTTCAAGAGGCCATCTGTGCCAGAGTACAAGGCCCCCATCTCAGACCCTGGACTGTTGCAGGCTCTGGCTACCATGGGGTGTGTGTACAGAGTGGAGAACATTTGGGTATTCAGAAGGGAGAAGGTCTCCACTGGTTACATTTCTCCCTATGACCCTCTACAGTCACTAGGGATAATGGTTCTGAGGGTCAAAATTCCAACACATGATCTGGGCTGAAAACCACTGGGAAACTCATTCCAGCTAGGATCTGGAAGCTGGTGCCAGAGGAGAAGACCTGGAAAACGTGCAGGCCTCGGGGAAGCAGGTGAAGTGGGAGGACTGTGAGTTATACCCCTCACTATTGCCGGTACCAGAAAAATAACCCACCGGTCCTAATGGGCATTCTACTGAGTCTAGGGCCTGAGCCCCTGGCCTTCCTGGGTGCACCTTTCAAGACCAAAAGAGCTTGAAATGGTGGAGAGAAGTCCTGAGCTTGGTTGAGGTCAGAGCCAAGCTGCTTCTGCTCCTGTGTCTCCTCCTCATCACCTGGCTGCAGAGTTTGGTCCCGCGGGGCAGCCCGCCTTCAGGCTTCTTGGTCATCAGCAGCCACACTGTCCGAAGGGCTGTAGGCCAATCACTGTCCTGGGAGAGTCTCGCTGATGTTGCGAATGGCACCATAGGTCTGCTGCTGTGGGGACAAAGCTGTCTTTTCTGAGGCCAGGCTGTTCAGAATCCGGGGCACGTAAGGCTGCCAGAAAATGGGGAGTCAGTGCGTGGATGGGGTGGGCATGACATTCTGTAACCATCCCTATCTGCTACCCATTTATCCTTTTCCTTCCAGTAAGACTGTCACACTGATCATAAAAGACACCCAATGAAATCACAGTAGAGACGTAGAAGTCAGGGCCTCAATATGCCAGCTGTGGAACTTGTTAGCAGCCAGAGCAAATGCAAAACCACAACAATTACCCAGATCTCATTTCCACAGAACAGAGAGCAATCCTGTTTCTCAGCCCTGGATCCTAAGGAGCTTTTCTCTTTATATGTGGGAAACCAGTCTATGCAGGGGGCATCCTCTCTAGGGAGGCCAACTTAGAGACAGCCAATTGAGCTCAGTTGCTGAACAAACTTGTGGATTCCCTCCAATCCCATGCTCAGAGCCCTGTTCCCCTCCTCCCAGAGCCCAGCTGAGAAGTGAGGGATGGCCTTGTCCACCTGTCCTATTTACTCCCATCTGGTGGGCACAACAAGCTTTCTGAGGACGTACTCTGTGGGGCTTGATGATGGACAGCTATTGATAAGGCTTGACACCTGGAAAGCACCCCTGTTGATGACGCTGGCCCAAGTATAGCAGCTCTGTTTTCCTTGCCCAGCTCCACCCTATGAACAGGGCCCCAAGGCTGGAAACAGAGAGCCCTAGAAGGACTGAAGTCCTGGTCTTTCTAACATGGTCCCTTCCTTTTAAGCTGGTGCTTGGCTACCTCTTGGGGCCTAGCAGAGACTCTCACCCAGGCAGGGGCAAATGAGTGACTGCTAAAGTTGCATCACACCATAGGGTCTTACAGTGTTGCTAACTCACCACACATCACATATGCAGCAAAGGAAAGTGAACAGGGAGCTGAAGGTACAGCAGGAGGGGGCGTACCTTGCACAAGTTTTCTCAGTGGACATGTGGCTTTACATATATAGAACCCCCCATCCAGCAAGACTAAGCATGCCTTCTCAGTTGACCTAACTCAGAAACCCACCTGCCATATAACCAAGGGACTTCTATCTTGATAAGAGACCATTGAAACTGTTTGCATGGGGCCTATCTGGTTAGAACTGTGAAAACCAGAGCAAGGAAGGACTAATACTTGGTGAGAACCATGACTTACTGTGAATGGTTGGGGTGCGGGGGCTTCGGCCTCACTTTCTTTGTCACCTGCCGTTTCTTCTGTCTGAAGAGCCAAACATTGGAATGATAAACAAACAAAACTGATCTTCCTGAACCAACACCCTCCAAACAAATGGATGATTAACACCCAGTAGAACAGTACCAGCTGGCACCAAGCTCTCTGTGGCAGCCTTAGAGAGAACTTGGGGAGAGGTGCTGGGAGAAGTAAAGTGGGGGGAGGAAGCTATACTTCACACCCAGCTACCCACACCTTTCCCCTGGGTAAATAAAATCTGGATTAGACTGCTCATACATGAAGTACAGGAGGAGGGCCGGAGTAAGCCACCATCCCCTTCTCCACATCCTAATTGCACAGTGGTGGGGTGGGGGTCCCTTTACCTTGTAGTTCAGAGGACTGAGGTGTTTGAAGCATCCAAAGCAAGTGTAGGATAGGCAGATCAGGATGGTGAGCAGTACCACCAAGAAGGTGAACAGGGTGGTGGGGGCCATCAGACCTGGGGATAGAGTGGGATGCCAACCTTGGAGATGGGGGAATGGGCTGCCAGTCACTCTTGCCTTGCCACAGGAAGGGGGCCATCCCTGGTGCAGGGAAGGCCTACAACCTATACTCTTCACTCCAGTAGTTGGGATGGCACCTTCAGAGCCAGGACTGCATAGTGACCCAGTGAACAGCTGGTCAGATTTCAAAACCTCTGCCCAGGCCCCCAGCAGCTACTGGGACACCAAAAACAAAACAAAACTGGTTACTATTGAGTCTATTCTGACTCATGGAAACCTTATGTGTTTCAGAGTAGAACTGTACTCCATAGGCTTCTCAGTGGCTGCTGACTTCTGGGAAGCAGACCACCGGGACCAGTACAGCAAGTCAATGACAAATTGTCATCTTACTGTTGGGTCAGTCCCTCTAGTCTCCAGTGGCCTGGGCTAGTTGAAGTCTTCTCTAAACTGACTGGGGCAGTCACCCATTTCTTTACCTTTTGTTTTTAACTTCCAAAAGAATGTTGGCACCCCTAGCATGTCCCATCTTTCTCCGCTCTGTGAGGTGTGAGAACCTGGGTCCACCCACTATCCCCTTAAGAGCAATCTGGTTCAGACCCTCCAAAGTTGAAAAAGAGACTGTCTTCTCTCTAAGGGTGGCCAGGCCTTTCTAAGGCATACATCTGAACTCTGGCCAGCTTGGAAGCTCATCTGCCTATTGCCCCACCTAACCAGTCCTTCCTCTTGGGTACCACATTCTGATTGGACACGAAGTTGATGTGATGAAAGCAGTGAGTGCTCTGATAGGCTAGAGTGGCTATGGGAATGCGAAGTCAAGTGCTGGGCTTCTCACCCAAGCGCAGGAAGGAGAAGAAGAAGAGCCAGAAAAGGCACAGGATGGGAGCTGCCAAGGCCTGGTTCACAGCAGCGAAGTGGATCTTCTTCTCCAGCTTGGCAGGAAGGTAGACAAAGTAGAGGTTGTGCCGGTCCACCATGTGCTTGAGCAGGATGTAGATGAGGCCTTTGGAGGAAAGCTGTGAGCTGGAGGCCCCAGTTGGACCACCAGGACCTCTCTGCCCTCTTCCTCTAGGGTGGAGGAAGGGGAGCTATTTGTGGGGTTCACAGAGTACACACCCCAACAACCTGGATACTAGTGTGCTCTTACTCTCTCTTTCCACCCCTTCCTGGCCTCTTTCTGTGCTCAAAGTGTAGAAGCAACTGTGATTCTGTCCCTATAGAACACTGAAATTCTGGGATCATTTTGAGGAAAGAGGCTATTTGACATGGTTGCTTGGGCTCAGATTCTCTCTGGGCCCTTCCATGCTGAGGCTCTACACCATGGTCAATAGCTGCCTGAGGGTCTTCATCTAAGGGTGGCACCAAAGGTGGGTGCTACTTTTTCTACTATGTCAAGCTCTGTTTTTAAAATGTAATATTGTAGATTTTTAAAATAGTCAATTCTGACTCCTAACAACTCAGTGGCACAGAGAAGAACTGCCCCCTTAGGGTTTCCAGGGCTGTGGTTTCTATGGAACTGGACTGCCACACCTTTCTCCCACAGAGGAACTGGTGGGTTCAAACTGCTGACCTTTTAGTGAGCAGCTGAGCGCCTTAACCACTGTGCCCCCAGGACTCTGAAAATAGTCCAGGAGAGTAGGAGGCAGAAGCCAATGCCAGGAAGTCACACACAGCACCTCCAGGTGTGTCAGTGCAGAACTATACTCCAAAGGCTCTTCTAGACCTTTCTTCCTAAGCAGCTCTGGATAGACTCAAACCTCCAGACTTTCAGTTAGCAGCTCAGTATGTTAACTTTTTACACCACAAGAGGTATATGGGGGAAAATAAAGCTTCCTCTTACTCCTAAACCTCAGCTATCACTACCAACAGTTCTGGGGGTACGCTGTTTCCTCCTAAAGTCTTCCATTTGTCTGCCAGGCCCTGATGTTTTATTTTAGGGCAGTGATCAAGACCTCAGCCTTTAAGGCCAAATAGTCTGAATTCAAATCCTGGCTCCATCTCTCACTAACCATGTGTCTCCCAGTTCTTCACCTGTGACAGAGGTATAGAAATTAGGGCTGCCTGGGAGGATTGTGAGGGCTAACCGTGAGGGCCGGTGTGGAATGTAACAATGACTGGCCACACTGAGCACAGATGTGATCATTAGTCCCAGTGCTAATCTTGTTAAGTGCCGTCGAGTTGGTTCTGACTCACAGCAATCCTGTATTCGGTTTCTGAGGAGTGTTTGGTGGATTTGAACTTCCAACCTTGTGGTGAGCAATCCAGTGGTTATACTACAGCGCTACACCAGGACTCCTGATGGTAATCTTAGTTGTTGGTAAAATCAAAGGGTTAAAAACCAAGAATAAAGTGATGCTATGGCAAAGTCCTAAGGAGCTCTGGTACCGTAGTGGTTACAAATTGGACTGTGAACCACAAGGTCAGCAGATCAAAACTACCAGCTGTTCTGTGGGAGAAAGATGAGGCTTTCTGCTCCCATAAAGATTTACAGCCTCGGAAACCCTGTACAGGGTACCCTCACTATAAGTCAGAACCAATTCCACAGCACACAGCCACCATCACCACCATGGCAAAGTCCTGGAGAAATATGGACAGAGGGCATCGTTTGGAAGGCTGGCGGAAAGAACTCATTTGGAAATAAAATGAAATTTGGATTCACATGTGGTTCTTTGGCAGCTTGCTCAAATGGTTACAAGACATCTGTGTTTCCAAGTTTACATACGTCCTGGTGATGGTTGGCCCTGGGATACTTACAGAATTAGCCCCCCACCACCCTGGGCCTAGCTCTGAGGGACCACTGGTGGATACACCCCCTTCTCCATGCAGCTCCCCTTCCAGAAGGAGTCACTCACCAAATGGCGCAATGATGGGGCAGGTGATGCTATAGGCCATGATGACGGTGAAGACACACAGCATCCACGCGTACATAGCGCCAAACTCATACTCGAAAGCCTGGTTCTGGGAGGAGGCGGAGGGAGGAGCTCACAAGCTTGTCCTGCCCTAAAACCCCCCTCACTACACTCCAGGTGGTAAGGGAGAGCAGGGTGGGCCCATAACCACCCCCTCTTCAGATCCTTTCTCTCCCTCCACAAAGCCTCTGCCAGAGTTGCACAAGACATGGTGACGGCATATTTTCATAGTGTTTTTCTTGTTGAAATCAAAAGGACTATGGTCTTTGAGGTGGATCTACTAACTGAGGACAGACCGCAGAATGACTGGCATCAGATCCAACATCAGTCAGCTCTGCCATTTCTAGCTGTGTGTCCTGGGCAAAACACTTAGCCTCTCTGTGGCTTATTTGCTCATCTGTGAAGTAGAGATATTAGAAGTATCTATCTCATACAGCTGTTCTAAGAATTAAGTAAAAGAATGCAACTTTTTTACCACAGTACCCACAATGGCACAGGAGAATAAAAAGAACCCCTGCACCACCCAATTTAGAGTATCTTGGAACAAATGGCACAAAGATAAAGGACTGTGGCATCTGTGGTAATCTCAAAAATTTATGTAAATTGGCACCCTGAACAAGGGATTTGTGGATTTCAATTGTATGGATGCATGTCAGTGTCACGGCTTGAAGAAATGCCATATTCACATGGCAACTCTTCATGCCTCCAGCTCCCCGCCCTGTCCGAGAACACCAGCACAGTGCCTGCCACTAACCAGGTAGCTGGATAGGTGCCAAGTGCCCTGCAGCTGGTGGTCCCTACCCACCCTACTGCAGCCAAGCACCTGTCTGACGTTTCGTCGGTCAGCAGCCGTCTTGGCCATGATCATGCGAATGGTGTAGAGGATGAGGCCTGGCAACCGCAGCAGCTCCATGCCATTGCCAATGAAGGCTGAGGCGATTACATAGTTCACAAAGAAGGCACCCTGGTCAGGCAGGAAGACACACCTGGGGAAAACCAGGATCTGTGAGCTCTCACCAGCAACAGCCTCCTCCTTCCCGCTGGAGGGGAAATGAAGCCCCTCTATAGCTGGGAGCTTTACACTTATCCCTTCAGGCAGTGAGTGTGCAGGGGCACATCTGTGTGCCAGGCATTGTCCTAAGCACTGTGAGGGAGACAAAGCTGCTAGCCCTGCAACTTTTTTATCAGAGTACTCACAAGGACAAAGGAGACAAGCAGGCAGCAAAGGAGGACATTCAAGTAGGGTTGGGAGATGCTTACTACTTTATATGGAGCAGTCAGAGAAGCCTCCTGCAGAGTTGAAGGAGCCCAAGGCAGCTCATCTGGGAACCTGTGTGAGCACACTCCTCACAGAGGGAGCAACAAACTGAGGGACGGCTGTAAAGGGCATGTTGAACAGACCCACAGGACACAGAGGGGTAGGGGGAGCTAGAAGCTGGGTCAGAAGGAGTAGGACTGAGATGGATTGAACCATGCTCCTTCAATAGAGATGTTCAAGTGCTAATCCCCAGTACCAGTGATTGTGACCTTGTTTGGAAATGGAGCCTTATAAGCCATTATAAGCTCAACTAAGATGAAGTCATACTGGCGTAAGGTGGTATGTTTATAAATAGAGAAGAGACCCAGAGAGATACATGGGGATGACCGCTGAAGATCGATACAGCAGCTGGAGCGAGGCGTCTATAAGCTGAGGAAAACCACAGATTGCTGGCAACCACCGATGCTAGAAGGAGCCACGGCAGACACTTCCTCTAGAGCAGGAGTGGGGAACATGCTGCCCTCAGGTTGTAGAAGGCCCTCAGAATCATTTGGTCTGGCCCTGCCACGGCAACCATAGGTCCAGCCATCACACTAGGGGTGAGTTACTTAAATGTTTGACCAAATATAGCAGGTTAATTTTTAAGTTGATAATTTTGTATGACCCGTGAATGATGCTATAAATTTGGTACTTTGTCATGGCAGCCCCAGGCCCTAAAGTGGCGGAAAGGTGCAGAGGCTGGGTCTGACTGTGGTACGGTAGAGGCTGGGGCGGGTGGGTGCAGGAGATCACATAGATGGCTACTACCATCCATGTGTGGGATAAGGGCAGTTGCGGTGCAGGGGAGAAATGGTCAGATTCTGGGTCCCTCTTAGAGCTGTCAGGATTGGTTGTTGCCCTGGGCATGGCATATGAATGAAAAAGAAGAGATAGGAATAATTCCAAGGTGTCTTTTCTTTTCTTTTTTGCCAGAACAACTTAAAGAACTAGGTTATGGGTTGAGGGAAGTTGTTGGAGCAGGAGATTTGGTTAAGTGTGTGATTTCCATTAGAAGCCAAGTAAGAGTTGTGGGCAGGCAGTTGGATATAGGAGTCTGAAGATACAGGCTGATCATCACACAGAAGTTTTCAATGTATTTTCACTCAGGAGTTGTTGTTAAGTACCATGGAGTCAGTTCTGACACACAGTGACCACGTATAGGGTTTCCAAGAGAGCAACTAGTGGATTTGAACCACTGCTCTTGAGGTTAGTAGTCCTTTGCTTATACTACAGCATCACATCAGGACTCCATTCAGGAGATGTCAAGTGGAATTAAAACTCTGAGATTCACTCAGGCACGTAGTGAGGGAGGAGGGCTGAGGGCTGGGCCCTCTGCAGTCAGCATTCTTAGCTGGGGGAAGTGCCAAGGAGACTGAGAAGGAGAAGCAGAAGCAGGGACAGGGGAACCAAGAGAGCAGTGCCACAAAACCACAAGAAGATGGCATTTAAGGAGGGAAGTGTGGTTCAATGTCAGATGTTACTGACACATCACATGAGGACAGAGACTTGATCATTGTATGTGTCCATCTGGAAGTCATTGTCAACCACACAACCCACCACAGAGCAAGCTAGGTGTATGCGTGCCTGTGGCTTCTAGATCCCAAGTCATGATCTTACTCAGCGAGAACCCATTTTGAGCAATTCACCCATCCTTACAGATAAGCATGGCTCATGACTATAAATAACCCTTTGCAAGTTCCCTATAAACAATCCTTTGCAAGAGTCAATCCTGAGCCTTTGTTGTTGTTGTTATGTGCCATGGAGTCAGTTTTGACATAGAGCAACCCTATATAGGGTTTCCAAGAGTAGCTGGTGGGTCCAAACTGCTAACCTTATCGTTACAAGTTCAGTGCTTATCCTACAGTGCCACACCAAGGCTCTCCTGAGCCTTGTCTTGTCTTGTTAGGTGCCATCGAGGCAGTACCAACCAATAGTGACCGTATGCATAGCAGAACGAAACACTGCCTGATCCTGAGCCAACCTCACTACTGTTGCCACGCTGTGAGTCCATCAATGCTTCCACTTGGTCAATCCATCTCATTGGGGGTCTTCCTCTTTTTCTCTGACGCTCCACCTTACCAAACATGATAACCTTCTCCAATGACTGGTCCCTCCTGACAATATGTCTGAAATATGAGAGACAAAGTTTGGCCATCTTGACCTCCAAGGAGCACTCTGGCTGCACTTCTTCCAAAACGGATCTATTGGTTCTTTTGGCAGCCTGTGGCACTTTCAATATTCTCCTCCAACACCATAACTCAAAAGCATCAATTCTTCCATGGCCTTCCTTATTCACTGTCCAGCTTTCACAGGCATATGAGGTTACTGAAAATACCATGGCTTGGTTCAGGTGCACCTTAGTCCTCAAGCTGACATCTTTGTTCTTCAACACTTTAAAAAGGTCTTGTGCAGCAGAGTTGCCTAATGCAATACGCCATTTGATTTCTTGACTGCTGCTTCCGTGAGTGTTGATGGTTGATCTAAGAAGCATGAAATCCTTGACAACTTCAATCTTTTCTCTATTGATAAGAACGTTTATTGGTCCAGTGGTGGTGAGTTTGTTTTTTTTTTAAATGTCTACAGAGGTTTTATTTGTCATCAACAGAAACTGAAAAACAACCCTCATGTCCCTCTGCTGGTAAATGCAAATACAAACTGTAGTACATCCATTCAACTGGGTTACTACTCTCCAGTAGTGAGGAGTTTTGTTTTCTTTACATTGAGATGTAATCCACACCAAAGGCTGTGGTCTTTGATCTTCATAAGTAAATGTTTTAAGTGCACTCTGAAGACTAAGCTATGCCATGATAGTTTCAAGAACGGATGTATCTGAGTTATGATGTTGGTGAAGAATACTGAATATATACTATGACTGCCAGAAGAACAAACTGTCTTGGAAGGTGTACAGCCAGAATACTCCTTAGAAGCAAGGATGGTGAGACTTTCTCTCACATCCTTCGGACATGTTATCAGGAGGGACCAGTCCCTGGAGAAGGACATCATGCTTGGTTAAGTAGCGGATCAGTGAAAAAGAGGAGGACCTTCAATGAGATGCAGTGACAGCAACAATGGGCTCAAACACAGCAATGATGTCCATCTGAGGATGGTCCATGACTGGGTGGCATTTCATTCTGTTGTACATGGAGTCCATTTTGAGTCAGAACCAACATAACCACAAATCTTTATGGAAGCAGATTCCCAAATTTATCTCACTTGGAGAGACTGGTGGGTTTGAACAGCTAACCTTTTGGTTAACACCCCAGAACTTAACCACTGTGCCACCAGAACTCCTTTTAGCAGGTGTGGTACAAGCTTAAAATCCTAACAGAGACCCACCTCAGCAATACATTTAACTCCATTTTCCTGGCAAAAATACTCCTCAGACCAGCAGTTCCTCTTTTCCCAATGCTTAATTATTACTTTCTCTCCTCCCCCACCCCCCACACCCCTTTTCTGCCACCACTGAGACCTGGCAGTTCCTTCTCCCCAAGCAGCTCTGTTCTCGGTAAGTAAGTTTCAAAGAATGAAGGAAGACTATCGCTAATTGAATTTTAGCCTAAAAAAGTAACCACATTTCTGTGAGTATAACACAAAATAGAGCAGCTCCCACAGCACAGCTCATGGACTTGGGGGAACTCCAGCCCAGCCAGGAACTGGTAATGATGCCCCAAGTCCTGCTGTACGTGGGAGGAAGATGCTGGTTCAGACCAGACTCCCCTGCCCCCATAGCCCGGGTGGGACATTTACCTGAGGCCATGGCTACAGAACTCAGCGTGGCAGATACTTACTCCAGTCGAACAGGGCCCTCCGAGGAATTTTTGTCAAAGAGCCAGCGGAAAAAGACATCCAGGCTGAAAGGACAAATGAATCTGTAAGTATTCATTTCCAACATTCCATACAATCAGTATACATGAATCTGTTTTTGTTTTGCTTTCCATTTTTTCCTGCTTTAAAAACAGGCCCAATCTCAAGATCTGCATTTGTTTTCTAAGAAGATGCTACTTTTTACAGTGAGGCTTATAGGGGCTGCTTGAACCCAAACTTCCTTCCTACGGATCACAGTAGAACACTGTCCCACGTGTTGGAAACCCCCTGGGTTGGAAGGCACTAAGTTGTATCTTGATCTAGATCAATAAACACAGTGGCCACAAGAATGAACTCCAATGACCAGAAGATGATACAGAACCAAGCAATGTTTTACTCTATTGCACATGAGATCCCCCTGAGCCTGAATTGACTCAACAACCAAGAGTCAATCTGTACAGCTCTTCACAGTGGAGAAAGCAATTCCACAAACAATAGCCAAACTCAACCAGTGGTTGCGGAGTATAACTAACTGTCCCATAAGGTTTCCAAGGCTGTAATCTTATGGATGCAAACTGCCAAATCTTTCTATGGAGCAGCTGGTGGATTCAAACTGCAGAATCATCAGTTAGCAAAGGAGTACTTAACTCCAACTGACTTGACATCACTTGAAACATGTGTAGGGTTTCCAAGAAGTGGCTGGTGAACCTGAACTGTCAGCCTTTTGCAGTTCAAACCAACCTTGCAGTCCAACGCATTGACCCGCATTAACATGCAGCACCACACCAGGACTTCCCAGTTGAGAATAGTGAGACAGAAAGAAAAGGGGAAAGGAAGAGAGAGATATTGGGGAAGGAGGTGGAGAATAGAGAAGAGGAAAAGGAAAAAGAAGTGAATTCCTGAACCTCCTAAATGACATTGTTGCTGCAGCAATTGTGAGGATGGCACAGGATCTGGCTGTATTTTTTTCTGTTGTACATAGAGCCAATATGAGCTGAAATTGACCTGATAGTACCTAATAACAACAATGGTGTTTGCTAAACAAAAACAGACTGTGGAGAAGTGAAATGGAAGAAGGGTAGAAAAGGCTTGGGACAAGGACCTGAGCGTTAGTGAATGGAACTGTCAAGTATATAAAAATGAGAATAATTCTTATCTCTGTCCTTGGAATTACTATTAAATTTCTTTTTAAAAAAGAAAAGCTATTAATTTTCTATCGTTTCTTTCAACTCTTCGACTGTTCTGTATTTATAAACTTCTAGAAGGATTCAGGGGAGGCACAGTCTTCTTTGGCTTAAATAACTGTGACTATACTGGTAGTGTAGTGGTTACAAATTGGGCTGCGAACCTTAAGGTCAGCGGTTCGAAACTACCAGCCGCTCCACAGGAGAAAGATGAGGCTTTCTACTCCCGTAAAGATTTACACCCTCGGAAACCCTGTACAGGGTTGCTATGGGTTGGAACTGACTCGATGGCACTTCACAACAACAACAACTTAACTCCAAGAGGTCCTGATTGCTGTTGTTAAGTGACATCATTAAAAAAATTAAAAGTAGTGACCCCTGTACAGGGTTTCGGAAAAGCAGCTGGTGGGTATCGAACTGCCAGCCTTCACAGTCCAGTGCTGATCCCACAGTGCCACACCAGGAATCCAAAAAAGAAACAAAAGTTGGGAGGCCCTGATTGGTGGTGGTGTGCCGTGGAGTCAGTTCTGACTCACAGTGACCCTGCATAGGGTTTCCAAGGCTATAAATCTTTATGGGAGCCAAAAGACTCATTTTTCTCCTGTGGGATAGCTGGTAGTTTCAAACTGCTGACCTTGAAGTTAGCAGCCCGACTTGTAACCACTATGGTACCAGAGCTCCTTAGAGGCCCTGATTGTTGTTGTTAAGTGCCGTCAACTCGATTCCGACCCACAGCGACCCTGCATAGGGTTTCTAAGGAGCAGCTGGTGAGCTTGAACCACCACCAATCTTGCAGTTCAAACGACTTTGCAGTCTGACTCATTAGCCCACAGTGCCACATCAGGACTCCAGAGGCCCTGATTAGACACTCCCAAAAAAGAAAGGTCTTTGATCAACTTTATTTTCAAAGTTTATGTTGTTGTTTTTTAAAGGAAGAACTATCCTATTTCCAGCAGACTCAAAAGACCAGCACAACTGTACTCAAAGTGAGTGTGCCAAGAATATACATCAGCCCCCAAACCATTTCCATGTCCTGGGGACAGTGCTCTCCAGATGTTGCCCTGCCTCAGAATTCAAGGCCAGAGGTGGTGATGTGTACCTGGTGAGGCCGAGAGAAGGCAGGATCAGCACCATGAAGATCAAGAAAATGTAGACTTTGGTCATCATGATCCAGTTTTCCCCAGACCTGCAAGAAAGTCAGCGGTGAGCATTCACAGCCAGGCCTCTGCTACCGCCCAGTGCCCTCAGAACCTCCTTCTCAGGGAGGGACCCAGGCTCTCCCCAGCACTCACTTGGTCCAGTGAGACTCCAGCAGTGTGGAGTAGTAGACGATGGAAGGGAGCAGGGCTGAGAAGGACCACAGGAGAAGGGTTGGGAAGAACTGACTGATGATAGGGTTCTAGAAAATTAAATTTCACAGTAGAGAAAGTCAGGGTGGGCTTGTGGGCTCTGAGGACATGATCCACTGTCATGGCAACTTGGTGAGCCCCTGGGGTGGGAGCTGAGATTTTGGTCATCCTTGATGCCCACAGAACAAGCATTGTGCCTGGCACAGGGTAGGTGTTCTATAAATGTTAACTGAATGATCAATATCAGCTCCTTAGATTGTATCATCCACCCATCTGCCAATTTGTTGTACTGTGGTGGCTTGTGTGTTCCTATGATGGTGGAAAAATTTCAGTGAAGCTTCCAGACTAAGACAGACTAGGAAGACAGGCCTGGCAATCAACTTCCAAAAAACCAGCCAGTAAACATCCTATGGATTATAATAGAACACTGTCCCATGTAATGCTGGAAGATGAGCCCTCTGGGTTGGAAGGCAATAGGTTCTATTTGATCTAGGTCAATAAACACAGTGGCCACAAGAATGAACTCGAGTACACCAATGACCAGAAGATGATGCAGGACCAATGTTTTGTTCTATTGCACACAAGGTCCCTGTGAATCTGAACTGACTGAACAACAACTAAGAACCAATCTATACAGCTATTTACAATGGAGAAAGTAATTTCACAAACAACTGAACTCCACTTATTTGATTGGCTTGATGTGGTGTTGTGAATTATCTAATGTCTCTTCCAGCTATTGTCTGTAACTCCCACTAAACGATTCTGGCCTACTGGGTCTGAGTAAGAGAAGGTGGGCGAAAATACTGATAGAATGACATGATTCAGCTGTGTATGTCAGCAGAGTTAATCATAATTGTAAAAATGTGTAACTGTAGCACAGGAATAAAATGAACCATCTCCAAAGCAGGACAGGGAAGACCGTAGAAGAACTGAGGCATTTGAATTACAGTGCTGGTGAAGAATGTTTAAAGAACCATGGGCTTCCAGAAGAACCAACAAATCTATATTGGAAAAAGTACAGCCAGAATGCTATTTAGAAGCAAAGGCTTTGTCTCTCATCTTTTGGACATGCTGGTGGGATGGACTAGTCACTAGAAAAGGACATGATATATATATATATATAAAGTGGAGCATTAGCGAAAAAGAGGAAGACCTTCAAGGAGATGGCATGGTACATGGCAGCAGCAGTGGCCTCAAACACAACGGTGAGGAATGGGCAGTGTTTTGTTTTGTTTGGTTTGGTTTTGTGGCGCACAGTGCTATGAGTCAGAATTGACCCTACGGAGGGCAGCTAACAACAACAACGTTTTTAAAGTAGATCCTGATTTAGGAAGTGTTTATAATCTCATCAACTCATCTAGGTTTTTATTTGTTTGTTTAATTATGCTTTACCTCTAGAGCATAAATTATTTTATAACAAGATTATCAGAAAGTACAAAATAAATAAAATGGACTCACTTCAAAGAGTAACATAGGGAAAGAAAATAGTAACTTTACAGTTGTGAATCCTTACTTGATTAAAGCACTACTTTAATCAAAATCCTGTCACTGAAATCAGTGGGGCTCTTTCCACTCTTTCCTACTAGGAAAGATGCACACATCCATCACTGTGTTGGATGCTGCCAAGTCCACTTTTGACTCATAGCAATCCCGTGAGACAAAGTTGTTGTTGTTGTTGTTGTTAAATGCTATCAAATCAGTTCTGACTCACAGCAACCCTGTTTTGGACTTCCAAGGGGCAGCTGGTGAGTTTGAACTGTCGACCTTGTGGTTCAAACTGACCTTGCAGTCCAGTGCTTATCCTACAACACCACACCACAAGTAGCCAAGCCTCATAGGATTTCCTAAACTGTCATCTTTACAGAAGCAGATCACCAGATCTTTCTCCCTTAGAGCCACTGGGTGGTTTCCATTCACTAACTTTTGGGCTAGAAGCCAAGCACTTGATCATTGTACCACAAGGGCTCCTTCATACATCAACAGCACATCATTAAAACCATTGCTTAGATACACTTTTATAAGCCCTCCCTGTTTACCACAAAGTCTATAATTTTTAATGGATGTTTAACCTTCTATCAGACTGAATAGATCTCATTCAACTCAAATGGCCCCTATTGTTTAACATTTAAATGTATTCCATTCAAGAAATTTTCTGTGTAATATTATAAAGACATTCTAATTAAAGTGACCATGATTGCTCAGGGCTGAAAAGCACAGGAGCCACATGGCCCCTGGTTTGCTGTTCTTCCTCCTCCCTCCCCCCACCATGGTCCCAATTGCTCCCCCACCCACCACACCCTTGTTTCTCCAGCCCCCCTGGAATGGGCCCTATAGGGTCACTCACATTCAACTCATGGATGGGTTTGGTGACATTGAACTTGTCTATGGTGGTCAAAATGATAGAAGGTGTGGTCAGGAAAAACAGTACCACGAAGAGAGTGAAGTTGATGCCCAGCCACTGGAGCCACCAGCGAAGGCCCTGGATAGACAGGTTCTTCCTACAGAGGGCAGAACATAGGTCCCTGAGGCTTAGCTTCCCAGCACCCAGGGCTCAGGCAGACCTGAGGCCAAATTTAGGCAAGTCAAGACTGGCTCTGGGGAGGGTTCCTTGGGGCTCTGGAGCTCAGGCAAGCCCTCTACACCAACCTGAAGCTACAGGAAACGGAATCACGGGCCTGTGAGCCCAAAGATAAAACAGGTCACCCTCTGCTAATGTGGCTCCCCCACCTGGCCTCAGAGTCAGAACCTACCCCAAGAGATGCCAAGAGCACCCTAAGAGGAGCAAAGAAGGCACTGATAACATTTCTTGGGCATATCTGCAGTGTGTTATAAACATTCTTCCCAATGGGGCTATGGGTTGGAGAGGAAGAGGGGGACGAAGGGGCAAAAGCCCAGCTGGATATGTCCTGGTCACTCACCCACACCAAGAACAGATAGACAAACGAATTCCAAATTTCAAAAGGCCTTTGGATTAAAATGCAAAACTGGCAGAGGCTGGGGTACAACTGAGTGGAGGCAAGCAGCCAAAAGTCATTCCACAAGACACTAAGGTAGGCACGTGGGGCTGCTGTGGGGCTGCCCTCATCTCTTGTGTCCAGACTGGAGGAGGGGCAGCCGCATGACCTAAAGCTGCACTGTGCAGTACAGCAGCCACGAGTCAGGTGTGGCTACTGAGCACTTTGAACATGGCTAGTTTGAACAGAGATGTGCTGTAAGTGTACACTACAGATACACTGATTTTGAAGATAAGGTATGAAAGAGACATGGTAAAATATCTCAGTAATTTTTATACTGATTGCATGCTGAAAAGATAACTATGTGGACTATGTTGAGATAGAGTAATGAAAATAATTTCAACTGTTTCTTTTTTGTTATTGTTTATTTTCCTAACGTGGCTACTAGAAAATGTAAAATCATACACGGAGCTTGCAACGTATTTCTGCTGGACAACACAGAATGCAAGGGAGTACAGCTGGAGTGAAGAGCTGGGTGGATACCCCAGGCCAGGCCATACCAAGTACATCACAGCACCCCAGCCCAGAGACAGGGGGGCGTCTCTACAGATCCTCACTTGGGAACTGTCACTGAGTGTCATATCAGTCCTGCGCTTCCAGTGACTGCCCTCCTCTCCCGGAGGGAAACAGGCCCCCTCTCCCCTCAGCCTGGGACCTCACTCACCAGCAGATGTCCTCGGGGTAAGTGGCGAAGGTGACAGTCCACTTGGAGGTGCAGAGCTCTCGGCTGTGCGACGATGGCTGGGGCTCCCCTCTGCACCAGAGGCCCTGACACTTGCAGGCATTGTAGTCTTTGAGGATGCTGCCAGGGTATAGCGGTGATCACACCCAGCCCACCAGTTACCATAGACCCTCAGCCAACAGGACCAAGAGAGTGCTATAGGATTGTCTGGGAGCCTCGAGGCACAGAACCTTTAATTTATTACTATTATTCTGATGAATGTGATGAAACAGGCACCAGGTTGGGCACACTATGCAGAAGATTTTGTCCAATCCTTAACCCACCTTAAAAAACCCTCAAGTGGATTCTGGCTCACGACAACCCATGCTCCATCCAGTTTTCATGGCTGATTTTCCACAAGTATGAGGGGGCTTCAAAAAGTTCATGGAAAAATTCCATTATCTTTCAATTACATTTTCTACAAACTTTGTGAAGTCCCCTCACAGATCGATAGGCTTTTTTCCAAGGCACCTCTGAGTGCACTTGAACCACCAACCTTTTAGTTAGCAGTTGAGCATGTTAACATTTATACCACCTGAGGATTCTCCAATCAACACTGTAAGCTAGGAATTACCATCCCCATTTAACAGATAAGGAAACTGAGGCTCTGTGAGATAGGCCTTGTACTCCCATCTGTCTGACTCTGGATCCCATGCTGTTTTCACTACCCCAACACACTCTTCCTGGACGGAGCTCTCCCCATCCTCCTGCCCTTGAACACAGAAGTCGGTGGGCCTCATTTCTCCAACCCCTCACTTCTTACCCAGGCCCCTTAGTGACCTCACAGAAAATCTGTTCCCATTCCAACACCAAGATTCCCCTCCCCAGGACTCCCACCTCCACCCTTCATCTCAACGGGTCCCACTCTCATGAATAACACCCCAGCTCCGTCTGTCTCAGAACATCCCTCTGCCTCCTGGCCCAACCTCACAGAGAGAGGTCTGTAATGAGGCAAAGGCCCCCGCAGGGAAACACAGAAGAGACTGCTCCCAAGTCCAGGTGTCCCAGGTGGGGAGTGAAGGGGAAGTGGCATTTACTTAACCACTTCCTTTTTGTCTCCTTCTCCCAATCCTACCCCCAGTGCTCCCCAGGAGAGATGGCACTGAGCTCTCAAGCATGGGAGCCATGTCAAGGGGCACAGTTAACCACACCCTAAGGCTGGGCCCCCACAGTAGTGAACACACTGGAGGTGGCCAGGGGTCTTCCCCTACTGTTCTGTAATTGTAGGTAGACATGAGGCCCATAGATAGGGAAGGGTCTGTGGTTCTGGAGCAGAGATCTAGAAAGAGGCTGGCAGCCATCCCACCTGGCAGGCTATGGGGTACAGGAGAGCCAATGAGATGCCCTAGGATAGCTGGTTAGAGCCTGGCAGTGAGCAAGGCCACATTCAACTTTCCAGGGCCAGCGAGTGTCATCAGTTCCACGGTTGCTGCCTATACCCAGCACCCACCAGCTGTCACATACCAGGGAAGGTGTGCAGATGGCTGCTTCCCTGGGGAAGGCCATGGAAATGCCACTCAGAAATGGCTGCATTGCTGACTAAGCATGCCATCTTTCTCCAGGAGGGGCAGCATGCTATCTGAAGAGGAACCGCCCATGCCCATACTCACTAGGTGGCCATGACCTTCTCCTGGAAGGTGACGAAGGCCATTCCCAGGGGCTGGAACTGAACCCTGCACTCTTCCTCTGCGATCAGCAGCTGCAGCCTGTTCTTCATGCACGTGTAGTAAGAGATGGCGTCCTCCTGTCAGGACACACCGCCCCTTGTGAAGATGTGGCTCTGTGCAGGAGGAGAGGGACCCCAGGGTCAGCACCCACACTCCTAGCTGGGCCGTGGGGCTCACCCGCTCACACCCCGGTACTTCACAGCAGCAGAACTGGCCACAAGGCTTGGGGTTGATGAGGGTCCGCTGGCCTGTCTTCGTCAGCAGGTTTGTGTAATAGGTCAGGCTCGTCTCAGTCTTCTTTCTGCAGCAGAGGTAGGGTGTGGGGAGGAAACAAGGAGCAGGCTCACAGTCTTTGGGATGGGCTCTCCACCCACATTCAGCAATCATCAGATAGCCAGAGTTGGGCATTCAGCTTTCTGAACAAGACCACCCTCCTCCCTTTTCAGTTGGGGAATTCAATACCAGCCAGGATAGAAGGGTGGGCATCACATGGGAAAAAGGGACAAAAAGATGCAGGCCAGCTTCACCTGTGGCACACCTGCCCCGCCAGCCCTCCTTACCTCTCCTTGCACAGGTAAATCAGCTTGGCCACATTGTAACACAGTTGGACCTCCACCACCTGGCATGTGGGATATGCATCCCTGTGCCCAGCAAGGGTAGGAGGCAAAGGCAGTCATTAGAAAAGAAAGCCCCCCCAGAGGAAAAACACCCCATCTCAGCTCCAAGGGTAAGGATGGTGTGGAGTCAAGCTACTGACTCATGGCCAGCAGAGACCTAGTTCTATTACCAAATGAAAACTTTGGAAACGTAATAAAAAGAGACTTATTTAATGCCATAATAGTAACTGCCTAAAATTGCTATGTTTATACCCATTTGGCTTTAAGTCAGCTGGCACGTCTCATGAGAAAAAGTGAACACTATCCTTTACCCTTTCTATCTACTCAAAATACTTCATTTACTGTGTGCTCTAGGTCCATATCTACCTCAGATCATCACTACAATCCTATTCAGGATGTAACTCTTCTGAAGGTCACAGAATTTTTAGAGGGTCTAACAAAATCAAGAGTGTGGTGACGGAGTAACAGAATCCTTGCCTTATATGCAGGAGACCTGGGTTCAATTCCCGGCCAATGCACCTCATACATAGCCATAGTGGAGGTCTGCATGTTGCTATGAGGCTGGACAGGTTTCAGTAGAGCTTCCTTCCAAACTCACACAGATTAGGAAGAAAGTCCTGGCAATGTGAAAATCAGCCAGAGAAAACCCTATGGACCACAAAGGTCCACTGTACACAGGACTACCATGATTTGGTGGCCAACTTGACAGCAGCTAACAAAACACGACAAGCTAAGGACCCTTACCCCAGAAAATGCATGCACACACGTTAAAATCATAGCAAAAAAAAAAAAAAAATGCACTTGTTTACTATTGCTCAGGTACTGGTACATATATTAACTTATCTAATCTTCACTACCTTAAGGCCAGCAGTTCGAAACTACCAGCCGTTCCGTGGGAGAAAGATGAGGCGTTCTGCTCCCGTAAAGATTTACAGCCTCGGAAACCCTGTACAGGGTCGCTATGGGTCGGAAACGACTCGATGGCACTTAACAACAACAACAACAACAACAACAACAATCTTCACTACAACCAAATGAAGAAACTGAGGCCCAGAGAGAAAAGTGGCTTGTGCCTCAGGTCACATGGTGAATGTGTGAGCCATTTCACGCTCACAGTCACCATCAGATGCTCCCTCACTACACACAATATTGTACATGTGACTTCTGGGGATTCTTGGACAACACAGCCCACCTACTGTATGCCAGGCACTGTTCTATGTGCTGGGGATTAAGCCTAGACAGATACACTTACATTTTAGTGAGAGAGAAAACCCATAGACACATACATCATTCAGTTTATCGGGAGGATCACTTCAGGCCCCACTGAGAATTTTAGGAAGAGAATTTCAGTGTAAGCATCCTGCTATAAGGTACCACCCCCACCCATCTGCCAGTTTGTCAGACTGTGGCAGCTTACATGTTGCTACGATGCTATAAGTTAAGGATTTCAAGCTTAGCAGACAAAGTTTCAGTGGGGTTTCTAGGCCAAGTGTAGGCCAGAAGATCTGGTAACTTACTTACAAAAATCAGCCAGTGAGAACCTTAAGAATACTGTCTGGTATAGTGCTGGAAGATGAGCCCTCTAGGTTGGCAGGCACCAAAAGCACACGGTGACCATCAGAGCAGATGTGATTACACCAGTGACCCTGAAGATGGTGCAGGACTGAGCAACGTTTCCTTCTGTTGTGTATGTGGGCACAACTAACATAACCATAAGGCATATTCACATGCCAATCCTCACGGACTGCAAGTGTTCACAAATAGGGTCTCTTAAAAGGGAAAAGTATGACTTTATGTGGGGACTTCTTTCTCTCTTTAAGACCATTCTGATAGAATCCCTCAGCCACCTGCATAATAAAATGGCTGCTTACCACATTTTCGCTCTTCCTACCAGAACTTCTCTTCCTACCGGAACTTCCTCTCTCCCTACCAGAACGTCATCCCTAGTCAACCTATCACCTACCTCCACTAATCTCAACCCCTCCCTCCTCTTTGACCAGTATGAAAATCCTTCCCCGGGCAATACCTCTCTCTTTCCTTCTGACCTCTAATAAAGCCTTACACGTGGGTGTTTGTGTTCTGGCTCATTCCATTTCACATTTATTGGGCTGAAACCCTGAAGGGACTTTGCCGGGACTTGCAAAGATCCCCAGCTCTCGGGTTGATCTGCTTTCCGGCTGTCCCTCATGAATCTGCCAACCAAACACCCACCCAGGGGTCCTCATCCATTGCCGTTGCTGACTTTTACAGCCACACACCGGTCAACAATCTCAGAGTGATTGTTTGGGCATGCCTGCCTCTCTCAGGTCCTCTGTGCTGTCAAGTCTAAGTCCTAGCGCTAGGCCAGATGGACTCTTCTCGGCCCGTGGCCTAGGATTGCTGCTCTCGGGGGATGCACCATCAGCTCAATTCCTTTCTCTTCTCTCAGGGGTCTGGCAAGAGAGACGAAGACGCTCCTCTCTTTGCCCTTCTCCTCTGAGGCTTCCTGATCCTCACCCTAACTCTCCGGCCCGCAATTATCATGGGAACCTCACCATCTAAATCGCCTCACTCCACACCCTTGGGTTGCCTCCTGCGCAATCTTAAGGCACTAGGGCTACAACTGGATATCAAGCCACAACGCTTACTCTTTCTGTAATCAAGCAAATGGTTCCTAATGGCCGGAGAATGGCATCTTCAATTTCAACATCCTTCATGACCTTGATAACTTCTGTCAGCACAGCAGCAAACAAATGGCCTGAGGTCCCCTACGTACAGGCTTTCTTTTCTCTCTGTTCTCATCCTTTTATCTGACTTGCTCCCTTTTTCAAATCCTTCCAGCCCAAGAGAAACCACCCCCATCCAAGACCCAAGCTCCCTCCCAGATGTTTCCTCTTTTGACCCATGAGACCATGTCCATCCCCCACTTGCATTCCCCCTTCATACAGCCCTTCCTCCTCCTCCTCCTCCACCCACCTACCTCCTCTTCCCTCTCCTCCCCATGGCTCTGTTCCACCACCATCTGATGGTCAAGCCTCATCTACTCAGCTGAACCCTCCCTCTCCACCACATACTTGGTCCTGAGACCACTCTCATTGATCCCAATACCCACCACTGCCTGCACTCCTGATGCTATTACATGGGGTAGCTGGGGCAGAGAGCATTGTTCATGTCCATGTTCCCTTTTCCTTATCTGACCTCTCACAAATTGAAAAGAGGCTAGGAAATTTCTCCTCCCATCCAGACACCTACATCAAGAGAATTCAGATACCTCACTCAACCCTATTACCTCACCTGACATGACCTCTACATCACTCTCACTTCTGACCAGGTGCATGCTATGAGCAATGAAAAGCCAGTGGGAGCTCAGGCAGTTCCCCCAAGAAGATCCCTCCTGGGATTATCAACCAGGCCACACCAACTGGGGACTTGGAGCTCATATCATTCTTTGCCTTGCAGAAGGCTTAAAGAGAACTGCTCATAAAGTAGTCAACTACAACAAGATTAAAAATATCACCCAAAATTTAGACAGAAATCCGGGCCAATTTCTATCACGTCTAACAGTGGCCCTACAAAAATACACCAAACTAGATCCAACATCCCCAGTAGGCATAGCAGTTATTAACACTCATTTCATCTCTGCTGGCCCCAGACACAGACAAGGCGAAATACCTGTTACTGACCAATGCTCTACAGGGTTCCAGACCAAAGAAGGGGTAGAATATCCTCTGGGGCACTGCCCGGGCCCTGCTTCAAGTGTAACCAAGAGGGTCATTGGGCAAAAACTACCCTAGCTCTTGTCCTCCCCCTGGCCCATGAATGCCCTGCTTGCAAACAGGGGAGACACTGGAAGGTTGATTGCCCCTTTCTCCAGAGAGGGAAGGGATCAATAGCCCCCAGTCCCACCAAGCAAAAGGGTTTGCTCTACCAGAGCTTCTAGAAGTGGTCACAGAGGACTGAAGGTGCCCGGGATCGCTGGCCCCCACGGAAATAACTCAGAGAGAGCCCAGGGTAATGGTCCATGTTCCAGGTAAGTCAGTCTTTACTTTTAGACACCGGGGCCACTTACTCAGCTCTACCAGAATACTCAGGGAGGACACACCCTACCCCTACATTAATAGTTGGGGTTGACGGAGTCCCTACTCGGCCCGTCATCACAGAAGCCCTAGCATGCTCACTTCATGATACCCCATTCACACATGCATGTCTAGTCCTATCCAAGTGTCCTACACCAATCCTAGGACGAGACATTCTAGTCAAGTTCAAATCCGCCCTCATATTATATCCTATTAAAACTACCATGCCTACCTCACCAGCTGGCTTGTTCTTGCTGTATGCTGCACCAGAGTCTAAGCACTGGCTAAAGACCTCTCTAACCTCAGTCTCTCACCCAGTACCCTCCTTCAATATGTGGATGACCTACTTCTATTAGGTCTCCACACCTCCTCCAACATCTACTGACCCACACAGCAGTCTCAAATCTCTCCCCTTCACACCTTCAATTATTCCATATGGTTTTCATTGAAAATCCCAACTTTAAATTAGAATCTTGCCCCACCCCCACAACCCCGCTTCCCTCCTCCCTATAACCACGAGGGATCTCTCTCACTCATGTATGGAAGCTCTAGATCATCTCCCTCCTCTACCGCACATCTCCACCCTGCTGCCCCACCCGGATCACATATGGTTCATCAATAGCAGTTCCATCAACTCACCTACAGGCCAATGCCAGGCCAGCTATGCCATTGTATCTTCAGATAGGGTAATTGAAGCCATATCTCTTCCCTTTAACACAACCTCCCAAAAGGCTCCCCTATAAACAACAGTCTCCTAGTGTTACAACTACTAACACAAGCAGGAGTCCTACACTGTGGAGTCATCAATCCATCAATGACTCCATCTCACAGGGAAACAATAAGGCCAACCCGCAAAGCAAAACGAGCGGCCATGCTCCCACCTCCGTCCACACAAATGCTTGCTGTTCCCCCTATAATGCCCCTCTCTAACCCCCTTGAAACACAAGAATGCCTTCAACAGGGAGCCACACTCACTGGGGACTGACTTCTTCTCAAGGGACTGTACATTTTCCCCAGGTCACAGGCCATATACATCCTCACGAATATACACAATACCCTTCACATTGGGCAGGAACCCTTATTCCGCCTCCTACGATCCGTATTTTACTGTCCCCAAATGCCCTCACTACATCAACAAATAACTCAAACATACCCCACTTGCTTAATCACATCCCCACAGGGAGCATTGCCCCCCAAATAATTTCCCACCCATCAAGCCCGCAGCTGTCTCCCAGGAGAAAACTGGCAAATGGACTTCACACACATGCCCCCTCACAAAAAACACAAGTACCTCCTAACCATGGTAGATACCGTCTCAGGATGGATCGAGGCCTTTCCTACCATCTCGGAGGGTGACACAGCACTCACACACGCTCTTTTAACTGAAATTATTCTGCCCTTCAGCCTTCCACACTCTATATAATCGGACAATGGTCCTGCCTTCATCTCCCAGATCACCCAAACTCACTGCCCAAGCCCTCAACATTACCTGGAAACTCCACATCCCATACAGACCTCAATCATCTGGCAAAGTGGAAAGGGCAAATGGCCTTATAAAAACACAATTAAGCAAGCTTTCATTAGAGTTACACATACCATGGACAGAATTCCTTCCCATAGCACTAACAAGACTAAGGGCAGCCCTCCGAAAATCTACCTTCTTAAGCCCATTTGAACTAATGTATGGATGACCATTTCTCATGGGAAACCTCCCAACCACCTCACCCCCACATGCTGACTATATCCCAACCCCAAGTATGGTCCATCATTTGTTACGAGCCCACACAGACCAATTTCTACCCAAACCCCATCCAACGGAACAACACTTCCGGGTCCAACCTGGCGACCAGGTGTACCAAGCCCTTTGCAACCAAAATGGGAAGGACCCCTCAAGGTCTTACCACCCCCACAGCAGCCAAATTAGCTGGCAGAGCTTTCTGGTTCCATACGTCACGCGTAAAACTGGCACACATAGTTTCATCCACTCCCAAATCGGATATTAAACCAGGCATCCCCCTTTACCTCTTTCACAGGATTGACCAAGCTCAAATCCACCCACATCCGAGAGGAATAAATGCATGACTTCTGCCTAGTCACCTGATTTTCCTGCTTCCTCAAGCAGGTGGACCAGGATCTCCAGTGGTTCTTTCCAAAGGGTAACACTCCTGACCTATTCTGGTTCTTCAGGGCACACTCTCTGATTTCTCACCAGACTAAATCTCTCTGCTGACAGTCTTTCTCCTTTGCTGGCTAGCCCTACCTCCACATACTCCCTTAGGCATACCTCCATGTTAACTTGCCACCCGGCCTTCCCCGCCCCCTACGGGGCACTACCCTTGCAGTAGGCCTCTTCTCTGTCTCACCCCTAGTGGCCTGGCCATTCTCAAATACTTTTTGCCTTACTCTTTTTTCTCCTCATAGTGGGACTTATCATCATCCCAGTATGCTCTCCATACTTTTTAATCTCAACTTGATGATCAGTTTGTGCCTTAGCCAAAATGGCAAAACATGTTCAACCCCTCATACAGCCACGGATTGCTCCAATGTCCTGACCTTTATGCACTCTGCTTGCTATCTGGGACAAATACCTGTCACCAACCAGTTTTGTGGAATCAGAGTATGATACCTATCCAAACTATCCCAATCCACAGCTTGCAAAAGGTGGTGCAATAAACCTGTCTGCTGGACATATCAAACCCAAATAGTGATGTCAGATGGGGGTGGGGGCGGTGGCAGATGCAGCGAGAAAAAAGTTCAGTGTAGAAGCTGCAAAGAACCTCACACAACGGCTGGACCCAGGATATAAAGGATTACGAACATGGCTAAAGCTTGACAGCATCCGCTAACCCCATCACACACTAATCACTGATGTTGTTGTTGTTGTTATGTGCCGTGGAGTCGGTTCCGACTCATAGCGACCCTGTACAGGGTTTCCAAGGCTGTAAATCTTTACGGGAACAGAAAGCCTCATCTTTCTCCCGCGGAACAGCTGGTAGTTTCAAACTGCTGACCTTGCAGCTCGCAGCCCAATTCATAACCACTACACTACCAGAGCTCCTTTGATATAGGAACCATATTCAATAAAACCTCATGCTGGGTTTATTTCCCTATAGGGACCTGGGGTACTCAGCCATTCCTGCTGACCCAGTCCCTAAATCATATCCTAATACAACCACCATACAGTACACAGGACCTCTTCTCACAGAGACTGGCCTCAGTAATTCCACCAACCTCACCTGCATTCATAACCACAGCAACATCACTAACCTTGCATCCCTGGTGCACTGACATAACAAAGGTAAGCAACCCAACATGTGGGCCAAAAGGAATATTTTTCTTATGTGGAAAAGATTTTCAAATGCCTACCCACACAACACCTGTGTGGGGTCACATATTTAATCCCTGCAGCCTGAATCTTAACCCCATCTGATTAGGAACATCCATACGTCTATTACAAAATAATTATCAGAGGCCTTGAACAGGGACATGGAGAGGGTAGCAGACATCCTCCTTGCCTTACAAAATCAAGTTAACTCACTAGCTGAAGTAGTACTCCAAAACCGATGCAGTTTAGACCTCCACACAGCCGAGAAAGGGACATGCCGGACCCTAGGTGAGGAATGCTGTTATTTTGTCAATGGGTCTGACATAGTCCTCAGCAAGGTAAAAGGATTAAAGGACAGAATTCGCACTAGGCAATCAGAAACAGCAAACTGTGGTTGGACCCTAATGTCCTCCTGGTGGCCTTGGCTCCTCCCCTTCCTAGGACCATTAACTATAATCCTCCTGATACTGTTATTTGGCCCCTGCCTATTTCACTGTCTTCAAAATTTTCTTCAGGAACGCCTGAGGGCCTTCACAAACCAGACAGGGGGCGAATTCCTCATGGTCGGATACCAACCACTGCCAAGCAACAGGACCAGCCAGCCAGAAGAACATGCCAGATACATAGTTCCCTCCTCTTTGCCCCCTTCCAGCAGGAAGCAGCTCCAGAAGAAATGACCTCCGCCCCTGTACCCACAACAAGAAAAGGCTGGAATGATAGAATCCCTCAGCCATAAGCATAATAAAATGGCTGCTTACCAGGTTCTCGCTCTCCCTACTGGAACTTCTCTTCCTACCGGAACTTCCTCTCTCCCTACCTGCACGTCATCCCTACTCAACCTATCACCTACCTCCACTAATCTCAACCCCGCCCTCCTCTTTGACCAGTATAAAAATCCTTCCCCCAGCAATACCTCTCTCTTTCCTTCCTACCTCTAATAAAGTCTTACATGTGGGTGTCTGTGTTCCAGCTCATTCCATCTCACACATTCAATAAGTGGAACTACTGTTACCAAAAGTTATATAGTCTTTGGGGAACTGTTTGAATGACTAGAGAAAATGATTACAGTATCCAGTGTTCATATATAAGTAACTATTTCTAGAATATTCAGAGTTTGGGAAGAAAAGGCTAGTCAATAAATTTAAAACATTCATTTTACTATTGTGCTTAGCCAAGTGCTTTGTTCATGAAAAGTGCACAGTTAAAATTCAGACGACCCTTAATTCATGGTGTCGGTTTGGCATACTGTGGTGGCTTGCATGTAGCTGCGATGCTATGCCACCAACCAGTATTTCAATTATCAGCAGGGTTAGTTACCCATAGTGGGCAGATTCTGGACTAAGACTGACAAGGATGAAAGACCTGGCAACTTACTTCCAAAAATCAGTCAATGAAAGCCCTATGAAGCACAATTGATCATTATCCAATTATCAGTAAACACGAAGATGGTGCAGAGCCAGGCAACATTTCTTTCTGTCATACATAAGGGTTGCCATGAGCCAGAGTTGATTTGATAGCAGCTAGCAACAAGTCCATACTATAGTTGGTGACAGCTGAGTGAATAATGAGCTGAATGAAAACAAACTCAAACCCCAGGCCCTTAGTCTGATCTTTAAGCTCTCCACCACGGGGTCCCCAGGAGCCTCCCCAGACTGCTCCCTCCCTGATTCTGATGGTCCTTGTGAAGCCACCGGGGGCCTTTCCCTGTGCTTTGGGTACTGCACATACCATTTCTCACAGAAAAGCCCTTCCTCAGCCTTCATCTGGAGGAGTGCTTGGTACAGACACTCAGCTGAGGCGTTTCCAGGGAAGACTGGACTCAGCTACATGGTGAGCCCTGTCTGGGAGGACAGGTGTTTATGTCTCCTGACAGGACAGAGTACTCACTCAGCAAATGCTTGCTGAGTGGACAGGTAGAAGGACTGAAGGACTGTATGTCCCTAAGGCCTTCCACCTCTTAGATCCTGTTTACTTATTGTTCACTTGTTGTGGGGCAGCGCAAAGCTCACGCTGAAAGCTCCGGCACAAATTATTTTCTTTACCCGAGAGGCTCTCACAGCACTTATCCGCACCTATACTCTGGTATGTACACTCTACTGTGAGTACATGGGGCAGCGTGGCTGCATGTGAAGGCTGGCTCACCACAGCCTTTCAATATCCATCTGACAGGGGCAGGCCTTTCTCAAATCCCACCCAGTCCTGTGCTGTTTCTGCCTGGAGGGGGTTCAGCTCCTCTCCCTGTCCCTGCCTCCCCCATGGGCTGCTCACCGGAAGTGGCTCTCCAACATCTCCTTGTTGGCAGCTCTGGGCAGCCCTGTGATGAACAGGGTCCGTCTCACCTGCCAGAGAAAAACAGCAGGAAAAAGTCACCAGGGCAGCCAGTTTGTGGTGGTTCCAGGCTTCCCCCCTGCTCTAGCCTCCAGGAAGAAAACAGTGAGACATTAGAAGATTCACAGAGACTTGCGCTTTCCCATCTTTCTGTGTCCTTGGGCAACCATAAAGGGAGCTATTTACATAGTATCTTCCTCCATGGCGCTACAAAGAATACATTTCCACAGCAACTTGGAGCCTCCTTTCTAAGACAGGATACCAGAAAGATTCAGAGACGGGAAGTAACTCAAGCCGGGACACAAAGCAGATCAGAGGGGAACCAAAGCCTGAAACTCACATAGCACATACCTCCACCACTCACCAAGCAGTGGGCTGCAAAGGGAGAGGGGGCTGCTTTCAACCCAGACTTCCAAGAAGTTACTTAGAATCATTAACTATGAGCCCAGCTCCCACAAATCAAAGAACTACTTGGCAAAATACCTAAATCGTAAAGCAATCCAGTAGGAAATTTAAAGAGAGAGAGAGAGAATGCCAAGTTTGGGCACAAATAGGTAGTAAGCAAGATTCTGCACACAGCCTTCTTCACTTAGTTACTTTTTTTGAATTCCTATGTTTCTGATTCATCAGCACTGGGCTCATCAACTTGATTGTTTTTAACCATTTCTATATATACACCAGTGACTGATTACATTCTTCAGGTGCAACCATTTTTGCAGTCCTTTTCCACACTATTCCATCAACATTAACATAAACTCAATGCATTCTAAACAAAAACTTCTCTCACCCCACCCTCCCACCTCTAGTCACCACTAGTAAATTTTGGTATCCACATATTTGCTTATTTCATATAAGTGAGACCATACTTGTATAAGTACTTTTGTGACTGGACCAAATGTGCTCAGGAGTCCTGGTGTGGTGCTGTAGGATAAGCACTGGACTGCAAAGTCTGTTTAAACCGCCAAGACCGGTGGTTCAAACTCACCAGCCACTCCTTGAAAACCCTATTACAGAGTCCCTATGACTCGATGGCACTTAGCAACAACAACAATTTTGCTCAACACTATGCTTTCAAGTGTCCCTCTTCACTAAGGTGCTGTAGAATCCACCTCAAATGCCATTGTCTCCAGCTCCCACCCGGGAACCCTCCTCCCAGCCTTGGGCTGTAAACCAAATCACTCACCAGGCTCTCGGCTTTGTACTTGATGGACTGGATGTGGTGCCGCATGAAGCCTACGGTGAGGATGAGGTAGATGACAGCAAAGATGGTGTGCAGCCAGAGGAGGTTATTGCTGAGGGGAAGACACTGGCTGGAATTAGGGGAGGGCCCTGGTGGAGGGTGGGATGGTGTGGGGACTGGGGCTTGGTTATCCTTGATACTGAGCTGAGGACCCATGGCTTCATCACAACAGACACTGTTCATCTGAGGCCCTGGGACCACAGACTCTCAGCCCACAGTGAAGACTTCCAAGAAGCCATCCTGATGAATGAATGAACTGGTCTACAGGGCCTCTGTGTTTTGTTAAAACCAGTTACCATCTGGTGGTGGTGTGCTGTGGAGTCGGTTCCGACTCATAGAGACCCTGTATAGGGTTTCTGAGACTGTAAATCTTTACTGGAGCAGAAAGCCTTATCTTTCTCCTGAGGAATGGCTGGTAGTTTTGAACTGCTGACCTTAAGGTTAGCAGCCCGACTCATAACCACTATGCTACCAGAGCACCATCTAGTCAGTTTGAACTCTTGGGGGCCCCATGTGTTGCAGAGTAGAACTGCACTCCATAGGGTCTTCAAGGCTGTGACCTTATAGAAGCAGATCACCAGGCTTTTCTTCATAGGCACCTCTGGTTGAATTCAAACTGCCAACCTTCCCATTAGTGGTCGATCACCCAAAGCACTGTCTGGTGTTTTGTTTAACTCCCTGCAAATAAGGGTGATCTGTTGTATGATCTTGCCCATGACCCAGTAACATACTAACTATAAAAAGTGCTCTCAAACATTTCAGGCTGCTCTGGACTAAGTTTAAGGAATCGTGGTGGTGCTGTGGGTTAGGCACTGGGCTGTTAACCACAATGTCGGTAGTTCAAAACTACCAGTCACTCTGAGGTAGAAAGACGAGGGTGTCTGCTCAAGTCAAGATTCACAGGCTCTGAAACCCACTGTAGGGTTGTTGTGAGTCAGGACAGACTTGATGATAGCAGCTTTGATTTTTTATTTTGAACTACCTATGGCCTACCCTGGGCTCCAAATCTGCTTTCTCCTTGGATCTTTACCCATTAACACCCTCACTACCCACCCTTACCCCTGGCCTGTCCCTCTACTCACTCCGTCTGTAGGTTTGCTATTGTCGTCCTCCCAAAATTGTAAGGGTCTTTATCTGCAGAGAAACACAGATACTTAGTTCAGACCTACATTGGGGAAGGTGGGTCTGTGGATCCTGAGAAGGAGGACCACAAGATGATCAGACCCATCAGAAGACAATGATATTCAGAAGGCAGGAAGGGGTAGGAATGAAGGATGAATGGACACAAAAAACACAAGGAAGAAATGGAAAGTGTATGATGACATTATGGGGATTACAATCAATGTCAGGAAACAAAATGTGTATGAATTACTGAATGGAAACTGATTTGCTCTGTAAACTTTCACTCAAATCACAATAAAAACTTTTGGAAGAAAAAAAGCCAATGGCATCCAATTACTCTAGAGCTACACTAACCAAAGCCTCTGCTTTACTTCAAGATTGTTGTTGTTGTTAAGTACCATCGAGTCAGTTCTGACTCACAGTGAGCCTATAGAGGGTTTCTGAAGAGCAGCTGGTGAGTTTGAACTGCTGGCATTGTGATTCACAGTCCAGTGCTAATCCTCTAGGGCCACACCAGGACTCAAAGTGACTGCCTGACAATGTCTTCTGAATTCACCTGCCACGGAGGTAAAGTTAAAACTTGGATTTCTTTTGCTTTGAGATTCTCATGGAAATCCTTAAGAAAACTAGGCACAGCATAAATTTTTACCAAAACCAAGGTAGGGAATCATGAATAAGTGGATTCATTATCGTGCTTTGGTTCTAGATTTCGTAAGTTACTTAGAGATAGAATTTTACACTCTGAATTTGACTTTTAAGTACCTATATTGGTTTTCAGGTCCACTAATTATGACATCCTAATCCTGTGGGCTAATGTGTCAGACTGCAAAGTCATTTGAACTGCAAGGTCAGTGGTTCAGGCTTACCAGCTGCTCCTTGGAAACCCGCTACAGGGTCGCTATGGGTTGGAACTGACACAACCTCACTTAACAACAACAATAACAACAACTTGCATGAATCCCTGTAGGATGAATACTGGACTGCTAATCATAAGTTCAGCAGTTCAAACTCATTAGCCATTCCATGGGAGAAAGATGAAGCTGTCTGCTCCCATAAAGATTTAGTCTGAAAAACCCTATCTAGAGTCACTAAAAATCAATGCTGTATGTTTGGAATTTACTAGAAGGCAGAAAAGTATAAAGCACTCTCTGAAAGCCCCAAATTCTATAGATTTGTTTTTTTCCCTCGTACTTAGTTATAACCAGAGTTTATCTTAGAGTCTCAACCCTTGGCTCCAGCCCCTGGCCCCAAGTTTGGGGTGGCTTCGTCTCCATATCTTGAATCAGATAGAAAAGTTCAGAAATGCACTCAAGGATCGCACATCTGAAATTGAACATGGATTAGGAACTGTAGTTACCATAAAGAACCCTCCATCCCTGGGGCCACTGCTCTGCTTGGGACCTAACCCGGACAAGGATGGGAAGAGTCCTTACCCAGCAGGTCTCCTGAAAGGTTGACGGGCAGGATGACGCCCAGGGACAGGAAGGTGACCACCACCATCAGGCAGATGATGTGCCTCTGGAAGGACAGGTAGTGGATGGCGTCTTCTCCACACCACTCTAGGATCTGCTCATTACTGCCGAACACACACAGAAACTTCATGAGGAGCATACCAGCCAGGGTCCTTGGGGCCCACTACCTCTGAGGCAGGGCTCATTATTATCCCTGTTTTTCTTTTCACATAAAAGGAGACGGAGGTACAGACCAAAATGTGTAAATTTGAGGATCAGAGACCTTGTAACAACATAGCTATGATGTAAACTCCAGAGGCCCCACTATGATAGTCCCTCTATCATACTTTTGAACGATGTCACTAGAAACATTTGGACCCATATTACATGTGTGGCAATGGTAGAGAAAGGTGTAGAAAGAATAAAGACTGCACCAACAATTCTCTTGCAAAAGCACAAATCTTGCAGAGCTCAGGTGGGGCAGGAAATAAAACTTAGCAAAACACTTATTTCTTAGTGAATAATAGGAATTGCAAGACTCCCTCAAGCCTCTGGAGGCTGACAGATACAGAAGCCCACACAGCACAAGCCCTCTCCCTAGCACACGGGGCAGGCTGTTAACCTCAATAAAGGACTTCAGAGCCAGACCTGAGTCTTGAACCAGAGTCTTGGACATGGTGCCCAGGCAAAGAAATGAGCATCCAACCAGAGAAATGAAGAGCCAGGAAACAACATCCAAAACTGAAAGGTTGTGCCAACAATTCTAGGAACCTACTAAGACTGCCCCTGCATGTTCCAGTCTTTAGCCCCATAAAATCCCCAAAGGCTGTGAGTTCGGGGGAAAATCTGCTGTCTGTGGTGTGTCTCTCTGCAGGCTTTCTTTCTTGAATAAACCTTCGCTGTTCCATTTCATGACCTTCTAGTCTTTTGCAGCCTACGGGATAACACTGTGTGAATGCAATTATTCCGCAGCCCTTCCCTGCTTCACTGACAAGATGGCTACAGGGAATCACATTCAGAAAGGAGTTGGGAGTACTCCCAGGCTCATGGCCCCACCCCATCCTCCAGTCTTCCTTTGAGGAGAGCTGGGAGAGAGAGATGAGTCCAGCCAACCACACCAGCCTCCTCCCTGAGACCTTGCCACACAAGACAGCTGGGAAAATGGCCTGCTCTGTCCTTTTCCACCCTGAGTGCTACATTTGTCAGCTCGGGTTGATTGGGAATCCGGAAAAATTTCAAGTTTAGAAAGCCAGGTTCCAATGTTTCAGACTGCCGTTTTCCTGACAAACAACAAGGCCCATAGGGTGCTGCTCCCAGGAGGACAGGAAAACATTGCCCTGGGGACAGCTCAAGTTAGGGAGGCACGGGCTGCTGTATAAAAAGGCCGGTCTGAAAGGTGGTGAGCATGCTCTGCCATCAAAACTGAATGCTAGCTCAGCGCCTCTCAGCTGCGTGACTGAGGGCAGGTCACAGGACTCAACTGAGCTCAGGTAGAAACCATGGAAACTACTGCCCACATTTGGGGCGATGGCTTCAGTGGTAGAATTCTCGTCTTCCACGCAGGAGACCTGCATTCAGTTCCCAGCTAGTGTACCGCATGCACAGCGCCACTTGTCACTCAGTGGACGACTGTGTCTATTGCTGTGATGCTGAACAGCTTTCAGCAGAGCTTCCAAACTAAGACTAGGAAGAAAGGACTGGAATGTAATTCTGAAAATCATTCACTGAAAACCCTGCAGATCACAATGGTTCACCATGAGGATGGTGCAGAATGGCACAGCATTTCACACCATGGTGCATGGGGTCATCATGAGCCAGGGGCCAACTCTATGACAGTTGACAACAACAAAGACTACTTCACTTAAATGATTTGTTAGAGGCACAAACAAGACAATGAGAATAAAGAACCTAAAATTGTGTCTGGCACCTAGCAGATACTCAAAACATGTGGTTGTCAATATCACTGATATTTAGTACTTACCTTAAAAACAAAACTTTGCAATTAACTACATTATTTTCACTTCTGAATAAACTACTAAAATAAACTACAGACTCTACTCTAATATGCATGTGGTAAATAAAGATTAAGATCAACAATTTACATTTTCCTCTAGTCTTCCTTGAGAAGTACTTCTGAATTCCCTGTCTTGCTAGAGAAAGACAATGAAGGAAACTGAAAAGCCTCTCAGAATGCTTGCTGCAATGTTGACATGTTGACAGTAAGGAGCTGTTAAAATTTAATTGCAGCTTTAAAAAAAAGTCAAAGGGCTTTTTGCTGTATTCAGCAATGGCTAGAAGAGAAAAGAAAAAACACTGGTAGTTGAAAAGGAAAACATAAAATATTCAGCTGCATACACTCTACAACCCCACTCACAGAACAATGAAAGCCGTGAATATGCAAGAGTGGAGGAATGGAGATTGGAATTGTTAGGAGCCTTTGCCAACTAATATGAAAAGGATAAATCATTTTCTGTGTCAAAGTTTAATTCTATCAGTTGAAACCAGAGGACTCCCTGGGACTACTGCCCTGAGAAACTCTTTAAATCTTGAACCAAAACTATGCCCTGAGGTCACCTTTTAGTGAAACTACAGAGTGGCACACAAAATTAAAGGATATTACCTGTAAGGTGCTTGCCTAAAAAAAACCACCAGCATGAGGCCAAAAGGTCAACATTGATTCCAGAGCAAAGATGAGACAGACAATAAGGGGGCAGAGAAACTAGAGCACTAGAAATGAACAACAAGGACACAGTTAAAGCGAATGCTGACACATTGTGGAAAATGCAACTGACGTCACTGAACAGTGTGTGTGGGAACTGTCAAATGGGAACCTAACTTGCCATGTAAACTTTAACTAAAAACACAATAAATGTTACTTTCAAAAAGTTTAATCAGGTTAAGTCCTATGATAGGCAGAGCAGAAGTGGGGTGAGGGTGCATGGGTAGAGTTCCAAACAGCAGTGGAGGTACCATCATGCTGAGGAGAGCTTTCTGAGGTAGGCTAATGGGTAACTTAAATCTTTTATAGTTACTGATCTTTTGTGATGAACTTTTACACTGAGCATAATGACTTCCAACATCAGGAAGAAATGTACCCTATTGATATGAATTTGGTGTGTGTGTGTTTTGGTTTTTTGTGTGTGTACAGGGGAGGGTGGCTGCCATAGAGTCAGTCCCTGACTCATGGTGACCGCATGTACAACAGAACCAAATGCTACTGGGTCCTACGCTAGCCCCACGATCAGTTGTGCATTAGACTATTGTGATCCACAGGGTTTTCACTGACAGATTTTCAGAAGCAGATCATCTGGCTTTGTCTAGTCCGTCTAAGCATCATGTTGCTTTTGATAGGTGCTGTTGAGTCGAGAAGGAAACACTGCCTTCCTCACAATGGTTGTCATGTTTACCAAGCATGATGTCCTTCTCCAGGGAATGTTCCCTCCAAAGTATGTGAGATATAGTCTTGTCATCCTCAATTCCAGGGAGAATACTAGCTGAACTTCTTCCAAGACAGATTTATTCACTATTCTATGCGAATACCATAATTCAAAATCATCAGTTTTCAGTCTTCCTTATTCATTGTCCAGCTTTCACATGTATATGAGGCAAATGAAGATACCATGGCTTGGGTCAAGTGCATCTCAGTCCTTAGAGTGATATCTTTGTTTTTTAATACTTTAAAGAGGTCTTCTGCAGTAGATTTGACCAATGCACTATGTTATTTAACTTCTTGACTGCTGCTTCTATGGACATTGATTATGGATCCAAGTAAAATGAAATCTTTCACAACTTCTCTGTTTTTTCTGTTCATCATGTGTTGCTTATCGTTCCAGTTGTGAGAATTTTTGTTTTCATTATGTTGAGGTGTAGCGTAGTGGTTACGAATCGGGCTGCGAACCTTAGGGTCAGCGGTTCGAAACTACCAGCTGCTCCGCGGGAGAAAGATGAGGCTTTCTACTCCCGTAAAGATTTACACCCTCGGAAACCCTGTACAGGGTCGCTATGGGTCGGACCCGACTCGATGGCACTTAACAACAACAACAACAACATGTTGAGGTGTAATCCGTATTAAAGGTTGTATTTTTAAAATCTTCATCAGTAAATACTTCAAGTCCTCTTTGCTTTCAACAAGCAAAGTTTTGTTATCTGCATATTGCACCTTATTAACCAGACTTCCTCCAATCCTAATGCTGCATCCTTCTTCTGGGATTCTTTGTTCACCATACTGATTAAATAAGCTTGGTGTAAGGATACAACCCTGATACACACCTCTCCTGATTTTAAACTACTCAGTGTCCCCTTGTTTGTTCAACACCATAGTAACATGCAAACGTCCACTGATAGGACATTGGTGCTGTGTATCAGACGCATGAGACTCAAACCAGGTTCTCCTGTTTGCATGGGAGGCAAGGATTCTACCACAAAACCACCAGTGCTTTGCTGGTGGGGTGACAAATCACCTCCCACGGCTGCCTGGTCGTTCTTTACTCTTGGAACCCACATAATGCTTAACATGAACTGAAGAGTATGTAAGAGGCCCTCATCTCAGGATCAAATATCTTGACTCTTTCCTCCTGAGAGGCAAACACTCAAAACATACCAGCTGAACAAATGCCCCACAGCCATTCCATACTGTACTCACGTCAGGTGGAAGATGGCAGTCAGCCAGGGGCAGCATCCCTGGAAACAGAGAACTCAGATTAGCTTCCAACAGCAGTGCATTTGAGAGGCAGATATAATCATCATCATCTTTAGTCTTAAACAACCTTTAACCCCCTGTTGTAACTAACACCTGCCAGCTGCCTCCTTGCCCCAAACATGACAGAGTCCACACTATGGTCCATTGCAATATGCACCACATGCATAGAATTCTTGAGAAAAAACAGTCAAGAAAAAAACAGACAATTTGTGGAATTACACAAGCTCCAGAGTCAAACCATGAAACTTGGATCAAGAGCTAATGAAAGTTCAGGGAAGCTCTTGAGGAACCGGTGTGGACTTCTGTTCCATCATTTCAAAATGACTGATTAAGATGAGAGACAAAGGAAAAACAAACCCACTAAGTTTGGAGTAGGATTTAGAGAGGGAAGGAGCGTTTGTAGACTTTACTGTCCATCCTATCTCTTAGTGATTCTGGTGTGGCACTGTAGGATAAGCACTGGACTGATAGCTGCAAGGTCAGGAGTTCACACCTACCAGCTGCTCCTTGGAAACCCTATACAGGGTCACTATGAGTTGGAACTGACTCAATGACACTAAACAACACCCCTTCTCTTAAACTTAATATTCCTTCAAGCTAGGCTGTGGTAACAGCCTTTAGCTGGGAAAGATAAATATGTATTCACCATTCATTCAGCAATTACTAAGCACCAACTGTGCATTGGGTGCTGGGGGACAGGCTGTCTGAGATATGGATTCTGCCCCCACTTGGCTTATAATCTCCAGGGAAACAAGGATAACAGAAATGAGTCCTGGGGAGGCAGGTCAGGGTAGATTACCCCATCAATATGGTTCCCATGGCTTCACTTGATATACTGACTAATCTGTACTGAATCATTGTCATCTGGTGAAATTGTTCATTCCAGGTGAACTTCAGGTGAAATTGTTCACTACAGGCTAGTTGTTGTTGTTACTAAGTGCCATCGAGTCAGTTCTGATTCATAGAGACTCTGTACAGGGTTTCCGAGGAGTGGCTGGTGAGTTTGAACCGCAGACCTTGTGGTTTGCAGTCCAGTGCTGATCTACAGTACCACACCAGAAGTCCACATAGGTAAGTACAACTAAGCCTGTGTAAACCATGCTTACTGGTTAATCGTCCCTGGAAAGTACAGAAGATTCTGCAGCCAGCTCTGCCTGTGAGTTACTTAAGTCTCATCACATTGGGTCACCCAGCTGCCCTCTTCCCAATGGTATTTTCCAAGATCTGGTGACGATGGTAATGCAGAGAAAAGCATCACAGCCCTACCCTCAAATGATCCCTGCTGGTTCCCGTCCCACCCACAATCACAGCTGTCCCTTAAATACCAACCAGTTCATTTTCAAAGTCATGTTGCCCTGAGGAGGAAGATGACAGCCTTTGGAATCTGGATGTACTAGAGGGGAAAAATGGCAGGTCATTATTTTTTAAGTCTAAAACTTTATGTCCAGTGTATTGTTTTCTCTCAGACTTTAGGACCAAAGTCTGAGAGACTTTGTCTGTGGCACAATACAACTCACTCTGAAAAAAATGTAACTGAGGGCAATGAAACATTCAAAATAGAACTCTAACCCTTGGGATGAATACCTCAGAGCAGGGCATTAGTAGACCATCTCTCCATGATGAATCCTTAAACCTCAGCACGGTGACTGATCTACCTAAAGTGACTTCAAAGTGTTGTCTCCTTGCCATATATTTCCTAATATAAGAGATATCAGATGGGCAAGAAAACAGGACCAGTGCCTCAAGTTGAGGGGGTGGGGTTGCTGTGTCAGCAGGCCAGAGGAATGGAACTACCAAGAGTCATGGGGCCAGTGGGCCTAGAAGGCAGGGCTGATGTCCAGGGCTGAGGGGCCTCCACCCAGAATCTAACTAACGCCAGAATCCCGAGGGTGGGGCTACTGTCCAGTGGTTCTGAAGAACAAAGGATTCTTTTACAAGCCCTCAGAACTAATGAAATCTGTTCCCACCATTAATAATGTTGCCTGTGATCCTTTTTTTCCCTTCCATTTGGAACGGGAATGTCTACCTTGTGTTTATTCCACCATTGTACTTTGGAAGCAGATAACTTATATTTACATCTTCACTGATGGAGAGGAATTTTGCTTCAGGATGGGCCACATCCAGAATCTCACCCATACTTGATTTAGAGATTTTACAAAAATGAGATTTTAGATTTAGAGTTGACACTGAAAGGGTTTTCAGGAACCCATGTATCTTAGTGGATTAGGAGCTCAGCTGCTAACTGAAAGATCAATAGTTCTAATCGACTCTGCAGGAGAAAGATGAGGTTTTCTGCTCCTGTAAAGACTTACAGCCTCAGGAACCCTATAATCATTTTCAATCCACCTCACCCTATCTTCACCTTCAAAGCGAATTCATTTCAAAGAATCAAAAACCCCGTGGCTGGGGAGCTAACTCTGACTCACAGCAACCCCGTGTCAGAGGGAAACTGTGTTCCATAAGGTTTTCAATGACTGACTTTTTGGAAGTAGATCAACTAGCTTTATTCCTAGATACCTCTGGGTGGACTTGAATCTTCAACCTTTTGGTTAGCAGCTAAGCCTGTTAACTGTTTGCACCACCCACAGGCTCCAATTTAAAAGAAGATTCAATATAAAATATGCAAGGTGAGAAAGAAAACAGGCCATCCTCCTTAACTGACGAGGAAAATCTTAACTCTTCCATAGCCTCAGGCAGACAAGGACTACAGCCATGGCCAGGCCAGAAGGTCCACAAGAGAGCTGAGCTGTGACCCTCAGACTGGGGGGACAGGGCTGCCAGTGGTGGGAATACTGTGGTGATGAAAAGACTGCCCCACAGAGAGGGAATAGGCTGAGACCTCCACCACCAGCCACCATTTATTAATTCTAGGTATGGACAACTTCAATGTTGCCAGGGCCTCTGTTTTATCATGGTCCCAAAGCAGACCTCATGGCCTGTGGGGAAGATCCGAGAGAACAGAGTTTCTGGGCCAGGCCTGACAGACGTACCCAACTAACACAGTCTAATGCTAGCACTATGTGTGGGCCCAGACTGATGGGCTTCACAACCCCAACCCCCACCCCCAACTCTGATATCTCGCTGCAACCAGACATGTGGAGTGAGCAGAGAGAGAGGAGACAGACACCTGCTTTACCCTCTAATCCACAGTGAGCAGAGCGACCTTACCGTCACCTTCCTCTCTACCTCTCCTGTCTCCAACTGCCAGGAAGGAAGAAAGCAAGGTCAGGCTGTAAAGCCAAAACCCCAGGGCTGACCATCTCCCCTCTCCTCATGCCTATAACACCTCACATTCGTATTCTATATGATGTGTCTTTTTTTACCTCTCTGTTTCTGATGATACCAAAGCAATGCGGCCATAATCCCAGCATCGTCTTCTTATGAAGGAAAACATTAGTATTAAAATCTAAAAGTATAAAAGAAAACAAAAAACAGATTGGATGGCTTCTAATTAGAGAGGACAGCTATTTTAGAAGCAAGGTCAGTTTGCCTAGATACTAGGGGAGTAGATGGGCCTTAGAGAGCATCCAGGTCATTTTACTAGGGTTAGTCAAAAAGTATTGCTACTGGGAGTTCCAGTTCGTACATGCACAGATTTAATCCAAACAAAATATGTTTAAACCTGTCTCTGCAATCAGTGGAGCACTGCAGACAAGTCTTCTCGGACATACACTTGTCTTAGTCTCGTTAGGGTGCCTTCCAAAAAAAAAATTTTTTTTTTTCAATCTAAACAGTGGCTTATAAAGGGATCTGACAGTTAAAATTCAAGGCTGAGAGGTCAGCTCAGGGCTTATGATGACTGCTTTTGGGTGATTCCAAATATACAAACTTGATAGAATTTCTCAAAGGACACAGGGTGATTATGGGGGCATATTATAAAGATATTTCAAGAAAACTGCAAAATGCATTGGTGGGAAAAAGTCCAGGCAGGGAAACTGTGCAGAGGCATTTTTTCTCATTACCACAATCCCCTGCTCATTCTTTGAGGGTAGCAACAAAGGCTGTCCTACAAGAATTTCATTGGGAAATCTTACCCCCATCCATCCTCCAGCCCTGATCTTGCCCTGTCAGACATCTTTGTTTCCTCCATACTCCAAGATCACTGATACAGAAAACAATTTGAATCATTTGAGCATGCCAAAGCTATCATTCTGATGTAAATAAATCAAAGCACGCAGAATTCTTCCACGGAAGAGTTCTAGAAACACCACCTTCAGAAGTGTATAGAGTTCAATGGAGGCTATACAGAGAAACAAAAACCTCATATTTTGGTATTTTTCTTTAATAAAGGTTTCTGTGATTTTTGTAGCAATACTCATTGACTTACCCTCACATATATGAAGTAATTCTGGTTCAAAGAGGGCACTGAGTTTCCCAAGATCACACAGGAAAATGGCCCAGGTGCTTTGCTCAGCCCTAGACCCTTTCACTTATGCCTAAGTCCTGAAGGGCTGTCGATGCTGTCCAGACCTTCTCTGGAGGGAGACTCCTAGTTAAACACATCAGCTCTGGAACATTTACATCAATAACCACGACCTTCCTCAGCTCTAAGCTGCCTTAAGGTGCTTGGTCTCACAGCTGCATGGGGGGCAGCTCCCTTCTTTACTTCATAAAGAATTTCATTTTTCATTACAGAACTGTGGTCACAGAACTCCCCCTCCAAGCAAGAAATGGTCAGCTTTCTCATCTCAGTTTGGCTCTCAGTTTGGGCATGTGGGTAGTAGAGTTCATGAGACTTGGCCTCCAGAAAGCTGGGTGACCTTAACTGGCCATGTGTCCATCACAGCAAGAAGGGCTGGATTAACAATCTCCAAATGTCCCTTGCAGATTCTAGACTGCTTCCTCACTGCCTAAACGTCTACCTTTGCAGGTGTCCAGGCCTGTTTCTGCCTCAGTCTTATCTCTAGACGGGTTTTCATCCCTCAAGATTCAGGGAGGTAGAGAGATTCATTTTAATTAACAAAATATTATATCCTTGCTTATTCTGGTCAGAAACTGGAACTACAATGTGGGTTGTACTTCTTGAAGCACATGTCCCCACAAAGATGCCCAGTTCTTATTTGCTCAAGGTGTGGCAGGCAGTCGGTAGCATATTTTCAAGGGCAGTGAGTCATATTGTAGGGTAAACACGAAGGCTAGTGCTTACTCTCCTGCCCCTGGCTGTTGCTTTCTCAGCATTTGTAGTATTCATGTTTCTAGAGTCCTCTGGCTCATATGTGCTCCCTGTCACAACTCCCTGCAACAAAAATCCATTCTCTACCACACATGCCACTGGAGATGGGCTCTCTTCTCAACCAACCCCAGTCCAGCCTTCCCACCATAGCCTGCCTGGAGACCCCAATCCTTTCACACCCTGAGTACTCTGGATCACAGTTCGAAGGCCACCCTGCTCTATCAATCCAACCAACTGTGACTCTCAAATCGAACAGTGCACCCCTGTCTCCTCCTGACTCTCAGCCAGCACTGGTAAATATGAGGGTGTTCTCAACCACCTGTATTCCACAGGATTTTCTTGTCTGTAATCTTCTGGTCACCAGGTCTTTCTTCCATGGCACTTCTGGATAGATTTGAACTGCCAACTTTTTGGTTACTTTACTACATAGAGAGCCCTTTTTCACAGACACAATGTGGACTGCAGGCATGTTCCCACATCAGAATTTACAGGACCAACAATGTAGTAATACTTCAATGCAACAATTCAGATTTCAATCCTGGAGATGGAAAATTTGAAGAGAAAGAGAGCTTTTCCCTCTCCTTAGAAATATGTTTGTTGTCACAAACTTGTGTTTCAAATCTTCCATCCTGCCTCCCAAAACCTCTCTCCCTCAGGGGCTGAGACCCTTATGCTGCTCCAGCTTGTCCTTCCCCATGGCTCCTGATCCAAGCCTAGCCTGCTGCCCAAAGTAGTTTAAGGATGTCTACCCCTAAGCCCCCAAACTTACCCCATTTACTCAGGTGCTCTCCGCTACATGTTAGAAAAGGGCATCACGAGGGAGTGACCATCCCGGGGGCATTTGTGAAAAGAAAATGCATCTTGTTGTTGTTGTTATGTGCCGTGGAGTCGGTTCCGACTCATAGCAACCCTGTACAGGGTTTCCAAGGCTGTAAATCTTTACAGAAGCAGAAAGCCTCATCTTTCTCCTGAGGAACAGCTGGTAGTTTCGAACTGCTGACCTTGAGGTTTGCAGCCCGATTTGTCACCACTACGCTACCAGAGCTCCTCAGCTGCCATAAATCGCAACTAGTCAACATTCAGGTAGTATAAGGAAGAAAAATTACATAGTTCAAACTGGGGGTGGAGGGTGTCTTTGTGAGCCAGGAGTTCTACTTTAAAGACAGTCCACCTGCTGAAGCTCAGCTCTGGTAAGATGCCCCTTTTCAGTTTTCTACTTTCCTCCACTTCTGAAACTCTCTAAAACCTCCAGGAATCCCAGTTAGGGGAGGGGTAACATTAATGCATGGGGGACTGCAACTGCTCAATTTCTAATCTGCATTTTCCATTCACACTTCTTAACTACAGGACTGACCCTCCCGCGGACCTTGAAGATATGACAGTCTGCTGATCACTTCCTAATAATGATAATGCCCTACAGAATAATTATATGTGCTCTTTGTCTACATCATCTCAACTAATCTTCTTCTAAACCCTCTGAAGTCAGAATTGTTACCCCCATTTTACAGACTGGAAAACTGAGGCTCAAAGGTCACACAGGTAAGTAGCAGAGTTGGGAGTTAAATCCAAGGTGTGTGTCCCCTCACCTGGGTTTCTCAGAAGGCTCTGGGAATAAAAGTTAATCAAATTACTGACAGAGGGCTGTAAGCCATGAGGGGACTTACCAGGAAGCAGATGACATCTATGAGCAGGACAGTGGGGATGCCGCCAAAGGTGACCCCCTGGAGCACTGTGCTGTTTTGGGCTGACCTGTAGCAGTAGGAGTCATTGGGTTGGACCCCAATGCCCAGCTGCTCATGGATGGACACCTCCTTGGACTGCCACAGCTCCAGGAATGGGAAGTCAGTCATCATACCTGTCCTCCCTGGAGAACAGGATGGAGCCATTGTCAGTGCTGGACCTCACCCACAGCTTCCCGAAGGTCGGGGTACCTCCCCAAAACTGGTGGGGTGCAGGAAGCTAGCAGGACAGAACCAGGGAGAGCCAGACACTGGAGCCCTTTTGTGCCTCGTAGCGTCCAGAGTGAATAGCCACATTGTGTAAACAGTCCAGAGGGTCAGGTGGTAAGGGCAGATGGGCTCCTCAGGGACACAGTCACAGACTCCCTGGGGGTCTGGAGGGGAGCTGCCTCTACTGTCTGCTTGGAGCCGCTCAAGTTCCTCTAGTCTCCAGAATTACTTTTGGACAGAGGATTCCAGTGGGAGGCTCTGGGAGAAGCAGAGTACAGGCTGGGGATACAGAGGCAAGGAAGAAGAGGGAGGTGGGAAACATCCAAGTTTGCATCACTGAGCCTCAATGAACCACAGACACAATCTGTTCAGAGAGTGTCAGAGCTGGGCCCATTGGATACGCCTAAAGTCTGAGGCTGAGAAGCTTAATAACTTGCCCTAAGATTAAGGAGCTAGCTGGAGCAATAATAGGCCTCAAACTCAACTTCCCTTTTACTGTGCCACACTCCCTCTCATGCTGAATCACTGAGGGATGAAAGGCAGGAGAAGAGGCAACCAGACGGGGAGACAGGCAGACAGGGAAACCACAGGGAGTGGTTTCAGGGCCCCCTCACCACTGTGCATCCCTGAAGCACTCCTGGTTCGCCTTCTGCCCTCTGTCAACACTCCTAGAGACCTTGGCCTTGCATTTCCAAAACAAACACCTGCTCCTGGCTGGGTCACTCACCTTTCTTTTCTGAGGCTTCTGGCAGCCCTGGTGAAGCTAATAGAAATTGCCAATGTTTGTCTCCTAACACTGCAGGCCTGAGAGGTGGTGCCCAAGTCTGGCCTGCTTGTCACACTGTGGCTGAGGGCCTGGGGACAAGCTCAGCACCCACACCCTGTCCTCAAACTTCCACGTCATCGAATGTGCTTAGATTTCAAGTCCCAGGCACAAGGACTCCCAGTGGGGAGACTTCTGATAGACCTGGTCTTTCTACTTGTTCTGGGGATATAATCTTTGAGGGAAGAAGAAAAGGTACAGAGAAATCAACAGATGTTAGCACTATGGGGGTCACGGTAGGTGGTGGTGATCATGCTGGTGAGGATAAGGAATTGATTTCCAAGTTTGGCTCCTGGGAGTACTGTACTAGTGATGTTGTTGTTGTTAAGTGCCATCGAGTCAATTCTAACCCATAGTGATCCTGTATAGGGTTTCCAAGGAGCAGCTAGTGAGCTTGAACTGTCAACCTTGCAGTTCAAATGGCTTTGCAGTCTGATGCATTAATCCACAGCGCCACACCAGGACTC